GCAAATTAAAGTCTAGTTGGCTGGCAGTGTGTGTAGCTTTTAGACAGACTGATGCCTTTAGTTACCTTCATGTGCATGTGAGAGAGATTAGGGTAACACAATTGCACAGCTGTTAAGTGGACTTCAAAAAGAGTTATTTCTGTTCCACATGAGGAAAAAAAACTACCCACCATTCCGACTTTCTACTGCACACACTGTGTTCTTTTACTGCCTCTATTTCTAAGTCTTAAAGTAAACATACTGACACAAAGATGAAATCAGCAGCTATTTGTACTTCAGAGAAAATCATCTGAGAGACCCATTGTTTGTGTTGTGTGAAATCATGAGAAACCAACTTTTTTTTTTTTTACACCTGTGAAGGATCAGATGGTTGCAAGGTTTGTTAAATAATGCAGGAGTTAGCAGCAGAATCTTCATAATCCAGATGTCTCACAGGATAAAGAGTTCAAATATCCTCTTTCACAGAAACCTATAATGAATGCTGCGAGTGGTTAGATTTTTAATGAGCATTGTTTTCACTTTAGGTGTGTATTTTGTTCATATACTAACATTTGCTCTGGTAAATTGAACATTTGTAAATATTGCATGATAGAATACAGCGGCCAACAAGGGCAAACATGCTGCAAGTTATCCATTTGGAGAATTGAGCTGCAAATTCAGAAAAGAGTATAATAATCCAAAAGCATAAAACAACAGACCTGGTGAGATTCCTTTTCTTTTTAAGTTATTTTATTTATTTATTTAAGATCCGAGCTGTACATGACGCGTGACATAATTGCTAGGCCATCTGCGTCCCCAGCTTCCTTTTTGATGACTGAATTTGCTTCTTTTTTTTCTGAGGCAACTTTTTTCCGGCTTCATGGGTTTTTGCCTTTGCATGTGCTTGCAGTGCATTTGCTTGAATGTATTACATTTCATTTAGGCATCATTTCTGAATTTGCAGCTTGTAGTGAACTTCTTTTGGTTTGTTGCAGTTTGTTTGCACAACGTGAAAAAAACAAACATATTCTCAAAACAAAGTGCTCCTTATGATAATCACCTTTTGTCATGTTTAAAAATTATGCCTGTTCTGAGAAGACCAGAGACAACGGGGGTTTGAAGAAAAGATAACGATAAGCACTGAAGACATATATGGAAACATGGACAGACTCAAAGACAGCTTCAGAACAACAACAGAATGAAAGAAACGGTTAAATCGCAGCAGATTCCTGCTCATGACAATGATTTTCACCACTCCTGAAAAACTAGGGCATCAGTGAGGCTGTAGCTCATAGAAAGTGAGAGGAGGGATGAGGAAGACACATGATGACAGAGCGACATGAGTTGTCATGCAGTGGATGTTGTACTCTGGCCATCCTACCCCCCTCCCTTACATAAGACTCATGCTTGGCTGCGGGCGTAGAAAACAAAGCCTGTCCCCATGCATTGAGCCTTCCCCTTCACTGAGTCTTAACCATGCAGCACACAACAGGCGCAGACAGTGAGCAATATTGAATTATTCAGGCGCAGAGAACATTGCAGCTTTGAAGAGAGCAGGGTTGTGTTGACTTTAGTCTGGAAATGAGAACAAAATAATTCAAAAAGCCAAAGACAGTCATTCATGCACAACCACTATGTTTCTCTAGGTGCTGTTTGTTGCGAAAATGTTCATTATGAGGTTGAGTATGCAAGTCTAGACACTGTTTGTGGACCTAAAAGAGTTTTATTGATTTGAAAAGGATAACACATCTTCCACTAAAGAAATAGTCCTTCAGACTCTACTGTCAGAACTGTTTCCATTCAATGGTAAACTCTAAGCTGTCTTACGCTGTTCTTATTCATATTTAAGCATTTCCACTTGAAGTCAAGTGGAAATGAAGTCAGACAAAATGAACATCATAGGGCGGATCACAGCAGCACCTGATTGAGGGTTTCTGCTTTGTGACTGTCAGTCTGTTGACATTTAACATTTTACGATCTAACAATCTCAGAACCCATCAGCCAATGTCTGATGAGGATATTAGTGTCTTGGAGCAATGGCCAACTTTTCGTGGCTTCAGGTGTAGCCAGCGATTATCAATAGAGGACTTGCAATTAAGACTTCTGTCTCTGTGCATAATTGGTTTTAATAATAATAACTAATCATTTATTAATCCCGCGAGGGGAAATTCAGTTTCCCCTCGCGCGAATACACACACATTGCACAAACAGGATCCTGTGGACATGCATTAATGGAGAGGTCTCAGAGTGAGGGGGTTGCCCACAGCGAGCGCTCCAGAGCAGTTTTTGGGGTTCGGTGCCTTGCTCAAGGGCAGCTCAGCTGTGCTCAGGAAGTAGACTGGCACCTCTCCAGCTACCAGACCAATTTCCGGACTTGGTCCGTGCTGGGACTTGAACCGGTGACCCTTCGATTCCCAACACAAGTCCCTACAGGCTGAGCTTCTACCGCCCCATTTTCATTCCAAATAGCAACTGGAGAAGTGACAATAGTTCTTTTTGAAAACATTTAAAATCAGATGCATGTATTTGTTTGTAGACTTTAACTAAATCGTTAGATAGAAGAATATGAGATAGTTTCTCATATTTTTCCTTTGCTCTGTACAGACCCTACTGCTGCTCATGTTAGCCCACTGGTGAACAATACAACTCAGACTACAAACATAAACCAAAGCACAATATATTATATTTAGTGTTCACTTCATGTGCCTCCCTCACGTACCTCCCAGTTTAGTCATTTTATCTTACCTAGCCAACAGCTTTTTGTGTCTTTAATCTTTAACCCCCTTCTCTCCTGTTTGAGTGTCTTTTCAATATTTTCAAACTGTAAAAAGAGTGAAGTCCAAATTAACAGACTTCTGTCTGCAGAATGATGTGATTACATGTAGTCTTCTAGAGTCTTTGATCAGAGCTGCATCAATAGGACTGGTTGGTTCATAGCAGTGGTCTGCTAAACAAACAGGTGTGAAGCTGCTGTAACTGACCAATCTGTATTGGATGCTGTAATATAATGCTTTAAAGAGGGCATATTATACCTATTTTACACCTTTTCAAACAGTCCCCTGTGGTCTAAATGAAACATCTGTGCTATGCTTTGGTCAAAATATAACATGAATCAAGTACCACAGGAGGTTTGTAATGCTGTATATACCAGCTCTCTCAGAGCGTTCCGTTTTGGTGGGTGTGTCTCTTTATATGCAATGAGTCCCCCTTGAGTTTTCCCCGTAGACATCACTCCTTTGTAGCAAGACTAAAAATGGCAGACCTGCGCAAAAGTTTTGTTCTAGGCTGGGGATGGAGTCCATGGGTGGAGACATCAGGGGAGGGTATTTGTTTTACCAGAATCCAGCTTGTGACATCACAAACTGAGAAGGTTTGAAACGGAGCACTTTTCTCAGTGTTGTAAGACTTATGCAGACTACAAACAAAGGACTGGATGGATTCATTTTATTTTTATTCATATTCACATGTACACATTCATATTTTGTGGGTCAGTACACTCAGGTTACCCAAATATGGGTTCAAAAACACTGTAAAAGTGGATTTTTCATAATATGTCCCTAATAATACATTTTACCGTTTCAAACAATCTTATTTATTTGTTACAGCTACCTCAAATAAACAAACCAAGTAAAGTTATATAATTGTTTTTTATATTCTTTTGTTTTCCATTAGTGAACAATTTTCATGGTTTATTCTTGTTTAATTAGTTTATTCCTTGTTTTGTTGCTTAGTAGTCATTTCCTGTCTTATTTGGGTTTTTTTATATCCTAGTGTTGTTTGTTTACCTAGTGTGTATTTTTATTCTATGTTTTCCAAGTTTAGTTCATTATGTTTTCCTGTTTTATTTTGTCATAACACCCTCCTTGTGTTCCTGTTTTCCGTGTGTTTATTTACTGTAATATACAGAAGTTAAGTGTTTGCTGATTTGTTCTTTGAATTTTTGCGAATAGATGTGCCTAAACATGCACAGGACACATGGAAAACACACTAAAGAGCATATAAAACCAGAAAAAGCATGATATGGGCCCTTTAAGCCACCGCTCTCACTGAGCTCTGTGCATCTTGCAGCTTGGTCATCCTTATTAAAACTCAAAATCGTACTTGATGATAAATGCACAATATTGCATGCATGCTTAAATAAAAGTGCAGGTCTAAATTATTATGATGACAGAGAGATGCTTCTTTTAAGAGCTGCAACACACTTTATTGTAGGGATCTTATGGTCTGACTACTTTTTAAAAAACCTGGATGTAAATAATTTTGATTAACTTATAGCACATCACAGAGGTTTAAATTAAAATGTAAAAACTCTGCTGGAGTTCAAAAAATTCTTACCACCCGTCCTGTCTGACAGGAGTAGTCTCCAGCCGTGCAATGCATGTGTGAATAGCCAGGTCAGGAGAACATCCAGAGCACATATTTTCAGGAGTGCATATGTGAAAACGCCTAAAGACGCCACTGCAGCAGCACACTTTGTAGCCTGAACTGCTTACTTGCCAGTAATACAACTTTTACACAAATCAATCTGCAGAGCCCACTGCTTAGCCACATCCCTCTGCTGCTGCGCTCCCAGCGGTCACCGACATTCACAAGGGCCCTTCATCACCACTTGCGGTTTTAAGTAACATAAGAAATTACCCAATATAGGTTGTGTCGTGGACTTATCTTATTTCTTTATTCAAAAACGTTTTTTTTGTTTTTTTTAAGTAATAAAAGTAACTTAATCAAAATAAAGAAGTGGAGGATTTTTTTTAAAAGGTCAAAAACAACATAACTCTACTGAAAATGTGTGCTAACTGAACAGGATATGAACTAAACTTACAGCCCTGACAAAATGAGAACTGAGGGGGATATTTGAACCAGCTGACCAAACCAAAACTAACACACAGGGGAGGACTACACACAAGATAACTAAAAGTTAACACCAAGGCACCCAGATCCCCCCATGCTATCCAAGAACTTGGTATGGTCCTCTTCCAGAAAGCCAAGCTCCACCCTCAGCCTCATCCTTTGTTCAAAACAGGAAGGAGAGCACATCAGCCAGGTAACTCAAAAGAAAAGAGAAATTAATTCATATAACTTTACTTAGTAAACGAACAATGACAAAATAAATCTGTTGTGTTTACTTAAATCAAGAGTTCTAATAGACAAATGCCAAACCAAACAAATAGCCTGTGTTATTCTTTTAATTCATAGTTTTCACGTGACGTCACACTCTTATGGCTGCCTACCTGGAGGGCAAGAAAGGCGCAATCTACCACTGTACACTACTGAGAAGTTACCGGTCTCAGTTTCCCATAGGCCTACATGTCTTTATCTGTTTTATTTTTAAATTATTCAAATGAAATACAGATATTTTTAATATGATACACTACCTGACGAGGAGACGAGCCCGACTTTTGCTTCTACAGAGTTTAATCGGAGAAAAAAAAACAGAAAGGAGGACGTTTTTGGATTAACGCAGTTAGACCCTCCTCACCTGTGAGGGGAAACATCGGACTTCTCCAACTAAATCTAAATATTCCTGCCGTTAACTCAAATTACTGCCCCAGAACACTCAAATCTACAGCTGATACCATCCTGATATTATCGCTAGTTAACGCTAGCTAATTTGCACTCACCGATGCCTGAATGATGAAGAATTTCTTGCCCTTCACCTCTCACACAGCAGCATTATGGACCCAGACCAATCAATAATACATAAATGCTGCCTGTATGTTTGTAGACTTTAATCCTACAGGTGTAAGGAGAGGGATTCTCATTTAAATATCAGCAATATCACTGAAGTGACGTTCTGGTGTTACGGTTAAAAGAGTGACCATGTTAACTGATGACATTCAGACAAACGCGACTGAAAGTGTCCTAACAAATGCCTATTCGTTCCGTTTTTGTATTATCATAATGTCAAAATTACTTATAAGATATGTTTTAATGAAATCTAAACAAATAGGCTTTCGTTAGGACACGTAACGTATGACAACCAGGCTCACTCGGCTGACAGTCACCAGTTAACATGCTAACTCTTTTAACCGTAACACCGGCACAGACCTTGCCGTTTCTAGCAAGTGTTGTGTGGCCTACAACCTTTTGTTGTGTGGCTGTGTCCATCACAGGTTGTGTTGGACTTTTAGTAACCTTGAATCAAACAGGTATTGATATTATTTGTTTTTTCTTAATATTGTTTAATATTTGGTATCATTTTAACTTTAAATAACCCCAGTCCTGAATCATTCACATAAACTTTAAAAATACCTTTTTGGCCAAAGAAAAGAAGGTATGTCCTCCTGTAGTATCAGTCCTCATTCTACATTTTGTAAACAGTTTTGAACTTGTGAGAACAAGAGAGCAATTTGAGCTTCAAAAGCACTGCAGAATGGAAACAACAATTCAACCTTTCACTTACCAAGTTTGCAGGGAAATATGAGTTGAACCTCATGAAACTTTTACACAGAAATTCAACCCAGTCTTCAGGATATAATGGAATATTAATGAGTAGAATGGCCAATAAAATGAACTCTATTCACTTTTTGCTATTTTAATCTCTCTCTCTATGAAATCTCATGGGGTGTAAATGACAAATACGGAACACGTTTGCCTCTGAGCCATCCTCAATCCACATGATGAGGACTGACAGTTTAATCACTGAAGGCAGAGCTGTAATGTATCTGGGACAGGTATGTATATATTCCAGGTTATTTTTAGAAAGCACCGAAAAGTGGAAAAATAATTAACTGGAATTGTTGATCTGTCAGATAAAGACACAACAGAAAAGGCAGGCTTTTTAAAACATTTAGGCTACTTACACTACGAGGAGTAGCAACATCTGAGATCGATAGCTGAGATCTTTCACTACAAGCATCAAAAAGATGTTTCATGAATTCTGAGATGCTGCCACAACTCTTTCAAACTATTACCTTGAATCCACACACTCCAGTCATCCTCCAACAATGTAATGAGACAAAATCACAAGAATTTGCAACATAATTTGATTAATTTACGATCAAAAGATGGAGAAATAAGACGAGATATTTGACTCCATGCTAATTTTTTGGCTTTTCATGGTGAGGAGATATCATGGGGTTTTATTTGCCTTTTGTACTTTTATTTGATGTTTTGAAAAACAAGTATTTATCATTTCCTTGTAACTTATCTGCAAGCAGTGAGCATCGTACACAGGAACCTGTTTTCTGTGGTTATGAAGTCCAGGGGTGCAGGATTTTACATCATACAGTATTCCCTGAAAACAAAAAATATATATTTCAGAATTAAGCAAATATTTGGGGCTATGGCCTAGCGGTAATGTTGCACACCCCATGTCTGGAGACTATAGTCCTTGTAGTAGAGGCTGTTGGTTTGAATCCAGCCTTGCATGTAATGGCCCATTCTTTCCTCCAATAAAGGCAAAGATTGAATCACCCATGGTCAGAACTTTGGGAATCAGTGTATCAGAGTAACTTTCTAATAAAGGTTGTCTTTTATCAGGCTGTCCTCATCCCTTGTCCCTTGTCATATAGTGATGAGGACATTAAAAATGTCTGCGGTCAACATTTTTACATGAAAATATTAAATAGGTCCGTGGTCAACATAACATACTGTTGATACTGTTTAGTAAAACCATCCTGACTTTGAAAAAAGGTTTAATATCACTTCACATGGCTGTTAGTAGCTGACAAGATGCTATAAAATGTAATTATAGTGCCCCCTCCTGGCAGATACCTTTCTCTATAAAGTGGTTCAACCACTGTTCAAATGTTTAACTTTTAAACATTTTTAACAATGAGGTTAAAAAAATCCATTATCAGTTCCTGTCAGTGGATTTAGATTTAGGCTTTTTTGTCCCAAATGGGTCATTCTTTTTTACAGCACTTTACAGGTCCGACAGCAATCATCATAGTCCTATAGTGACAGCTCGGATAAAATTATTATTAAAAATAATTGTAAAACATTTAGAAAATGAAATGGCAACAAAACATTTTGCTTCTTTGTACATAAGTTCTCACTTAGTAGTTTAGTAATAGTCATTTGATAAAGTAGAAAGAAAAGAAAACAATGAAAAACTTTAAGCTGCATATTTAGTCTCATTGCGGGTAAGTGTCTCATTTAGCCTCTATTGTGGGCTGTTTCTATGAGCCAGGGAATCGCTTTAGACTTGCATGCAGCCTGAACTGCCTTGTTTTTGGTATTAGCCAGACTCTAAAGTACAAAACATTTGTCTTCACAGAGCTTTGTGCTCTGGCTCTGCTCACTCATTTATTGAATAATTTTGGCTACATAGCTTCCACTGCTGGGTGTCTTTTTATATCAGCTGGCTGCAGCTCCCGTCTCTCTCTCGTGATGCTGTGCACAGAGCCGTGAAGACATAACACACAGTAACACACATGTTCTCATATTGGCCTTGCATAACACATACATACATAAATGTGTAAGTTGAAGGCAGTGATTTCTTATTTTTAGAAAAGTATCACATTTAAAAAAAAAAAAAAAAAATTCATTGTAAAGAGTACCTGCTTCCTAATAGAGCTCTCTGGGAAAGGAAGTACATCTTCACAGGACGCTATTCAGGTATTCATGTTATCTCTCCTAGATAAATCAGAGATTACAGACAGATACTCACAAAGAGGTTTAATGTAACCAGAACCTGCAACCTGCAATGTGTCAACAGGAACAAATTCACTGGTGAAATGTATTTACAGCACACTGTTTTTAAAGTAATTCCATTCATATTTTGAGAGGACACAGGACATACAGCTTAAAATCTGTTTATAGGCTTGGCTGAATGTGAATTTGTTTCAGTTATGGAGACCACAACAGTATTTCTTTTTTTTCTTTTTTTTAAAACATCTTTTTTTTAAAGTCATTTAACGTTTCTTTTTTTCCTTTTACTTCAAATTTTTTCTGGAATTTTTGGCTAAGTTGGGGTTTCTTATTATTACATTGGTATTTGTCATTTTTAGTTTACTTATCTAATATTTAGGATATCATTGTTTTCATTTTGAAACTTTTGAAAAGATGTGATGCCACATAATGTCTCCAATATAGTCTAGCCGTGTGCATCTGATGTTGTGCATTTGAAAATGTATAGGCCTTTTTCATAGAGGACATGTTGCTTAATGTCACAGTGTCAAGATGTCAAATGTAAATGACCAAATTAATGATGGCCGATCTCCCTGTAGATGTTCCATTTCAGGGGTACTGTTATTGTGCATCGTGGCTCACTGTTTGGCTAACTAAGTCACTTGAATGGAAGCGAGCAGTTAAATAAGTAACAGTTTTTAATTTAGAAAAAGTTATTAAATCAGTAACACCAATGTTTTTTATACACTATGATAAATCAATGCTGTTAAAAAAGCCTATTTATTATTTTATATATTTATTTTTAGTTTGCCTATGACTTTGTGCAAGTGTGTAATTCCTGAATACATGCTGACTCCCGCAGGTGAAACTCAGGTTTCATTCAGGTTTCACTCAGTTCTGTCTGATGTGAATATTTAATCAAACGCTGCCCTCTGCTGGCTAAGAGGTTTACAGCATATTTATGCCTCTGAAAAGGTCAAAAGAGAAACAACCAGATTAGGAAATGATCTTTTCCAATGTTTTAAACAAAGACTGAAGGTTAAAAGTCGAATACATCTACCAGCCACTGGCAAATAAATCTTCTAATTCAATAGCAACTCTTGTGCAACACATTATTGTTGTTCTATATCTGCAAGCAACACTCAGAGTTTGGGAGCATTTTGCTGTTGGTTAAAGCTAAACACGTAAAAAAAAGAAAAAAAAAAGATTTAATTTGATCAATCAATCCACAAAATATTTGGTGGACTGGATGTCCCACTTTCTGACATTAATATGTTTTATCGAGGACTTTTGGTCTCAATTTGCACTTTTTACCTCCTGTTGTGAAGACAGTCCCACATATTTTCACTCATATTGTATCCAGATGGAATCTCAGACTTGTCTACTCTAATCTGGCGTGCACTGGCTTTAGATTTAGAAACATAATTATGCATAAAATAAGTCCAACTTAGTTATTCTTCACAGTTTTTTGTGCTATATTGTTTGAAGTGGGTTCTCAGAAATGTAATTAAATAAACAATTATCATTCTGTGGCTCTCTACAGCTGGTTTTAGATTGAGTTTTTGTGGGAGTAAGGCTTGTTTGGCGGAGTGATAACTTCCCTCAAGTCTTATTTCCTGCATTCAAGCACTGCTCTGCTTCATATCTCTCTTATCATGACGGATGGCTCACAAGCCTGCTAGATCCTCTTAGCTAAATTCTGCTTTAGTTGTGTGTCTATCAGCAGAGCTTCATTTGAGCTTCAGTCTGCTGTAACTTTATCTTCAGCCCCTTGTTTTATAACCACAAATGTTTTGCTTAAATGTGTTTGCAATACAGAAAAGTTATGGTGGTTGGCATTTTAGGATTGTTGAAGAAAGTCACAGTTACATCCTGACTTACAGGCCTCTAAGAAAATATGACACAAAAACACAAGAAGCTCAAATAAATCATCTTGTATTAGACAGTCTTAGATTTCCCATGCCCACCAGTGAAAAGGCCAGGCAGGAGTGACGCATTGGTTTCTCCAGGCACTGTGGGAAAGAGACAAGGGGGTATCTTTTTAGCAAAGCAAGTCAAGAGGTAGAATTCTGATAAAATAACACTGAGTCTGTCAGGTTAAAGAAAACTTAACCCCAACTGAATACTTATAGAACTGACTGATTCAGTTAGGTGTCTTCATAGCTAATAGTTTTCTAACATGTTTCCAGCAATTCAAAAAGGGTAATCACTGCCAACGCGCAAAAACGGGCCAAAATACATACGTATAATGTGACTCTCCTTTTAGGCCTCATTTGGTTTAACTCCAGAGGGGAAATTCTGTCTGTTCAGCTGCACTAATATATTCGTAAAATACTCTCTTACTGTGCCAGTCTGCTGTTTGTGGTTGATTAGATGGTGTTGAGTGGATCACAAGAGCTATTTACTGAAAATAGCTGCTTGTGTGGCTAAAATGGTGCAATGAGAGTGATGCCAATAAAACAAAACAGGAAACTTGTGTGCCTGGCAGCTAAACAATGAGCTAATACTCAAAATTAAACCTCTTGAAAGGCAAGGCAGGCTGCAGGTTGATATGATTATTCTCTGTCGGTTTATTACTATGAGTGACACATTTCACTTTGTAATTGTCACTCAATAGAGCGGATGGCCAGCTTCCATCTGGTTCAGGTTTGCTAATGGTAATAATGGAAAATGGACTTGAGCTTGTATAGTATATAGTGCTGACTACTCAAAGAGTTTTTCCAATCACAGCTTTAGCCATTCACACAATGATGGCAGAGACTGCTTTGTAAAGTGTCAATCAGTCTTAACTAATTTATTCATACACATTGGAGCAATTTGGGTCTCGCTCAAGGACACATCGACATGTGGCTGCACCGACTGTGGATTGAACCCCTAACGTTCCGGTTCAGAAACAGTCGATGCTACCACTGAACCACAGCCGCCCCAAATATGGTAATGCTCTGAACTACAACTCTATAACTAGTGTTACTATTAATAATGTTACTATTAAACAGACTGGATGAGAGTGTGTTGATTACTTAATCGTGTCATGGAAATTGTCTGTGTTTTTTACGAGCCAATAAGAAATAGATGTTGGATCGAGCAACCTAACTTAGCAGCATACCAGTCAACATATTTCATTCATCATTTTCACTGTTATTGGTTTCCTTTTGGTTTTCTTAAGCCAGTTGGAAATCAAAACTCAGCTAGCAACTGAACAATTTTAGCTGCAATAAAAAATTAATTCATTAAAAATAATGGATACCATTTACATAATCTAATTTACTTATATGCCACTGCTAATGAAAGCAAACACAACTTGTATGTAAATCTCTTTGTAATACAGTGCTGTAGTTGTTGATTCATTCCTGCATTCAGAAACTGTGACAAACAAATCTCTCATTTTCTGGAAGCTCTGCCCACAGGGATTATCTTAATGTCTGACCTCTGGCCTCTAGCATGGCTGTCCCAGCTTGTGCCTGACGTGGACCCTCACATATCTCCTTGGCTTGACTGGGTGGTCGGTGCAGCACCAACACACGACCCCAACCTGAGAGGAAAGATACTGTGGGAATCCGTCCTGTGGTAAAAACTCAGTGAGAACTAACACTTAGGTGTTAAGTTGTGTCGAGCCTGTGCGTTGCTGCAAGGACTACGACGTAATAACACAGCACTCTGCCAATCTCCTGCTCCGCATTATATGCTCAACATGGGCTCCGACTCCTGCCAATAATCCTCGTCTGAGACCTTGAACTGAACTTACATATGTGTATTGTCCTACCCCTGTAGGTTAATTATGTGAAAATCAACACAAAAAGATGCACAACCTAAAGCTGGATGAACTTTGTATGAGGTGAGACATCTTGAGAGGAGGATGTACATAGGGGTGTAAAACTTGTCTGCTTTACAGATAAGGTATCCTCATGGCTGGGAAAAAGAGAGGTCTAGTGTAATCAACCACAGAGAGAAAAATGCTACGTTTCAGTAAGGTTGTTCCTTGAAATTCAAACAGTTTTTGTCACATCAATCAGTTGATTGTATTCATACAGCAATAATTAACTCAAGTTATCTTAGGACACTTAATATAATGAAGTTCAGATTCTTTATATTGTCCCACAAGGGGAAATTTGTTTTGCAGCAAGGAGCACACAGAAGACAGCATATACAAGGACAATATCAACAGTAAAATCAAAATAAAATAATGCAATATTATGCACAGACATTGGACTTAAATCACAGAGCAAGCACATGGCACTAGTAAGAAGGAAATAAAGTCCTTTGTATACGCAAAAACCTTGAGCAGAACATATTTCCTTTGGTGAGAAATCTTCTGCCCCATTGGCATACGCTGAGAAGGTGGGGCAGATGGAGTGAGAGGAAGAAATTTATAAATTCTGACATTTTGCAAAAAAACAAGAATGCAAGCTAGTGAAAAGAAAATACCAATAGAATAAAAAAGTGCCTGTTTCCAGCAGATGAACTAATCTGCCCTGACAGCTCAGGAGCATCTTTCAATCCTGTCTAAAGGTTCTCACAGCAATGCCGACAAGTTGTCCACCCTATCAACATCAGCAATCTAGGGGGGTTCTGCACCCCTGCTTTCTGTCTTGAGTGTAATTTAAGAGGTCAGAGTTCAGACCTCTCACTGGGACCTGTTTATCACTCAAGGGGTTGTGTGACCAAGGCGGGAGGGTAGGGGAGGAGTGGAGTTTGTTTTCAAGTGGTCACCTCCAGGAAAGCTCCCAGCCGGTCAGTGGCCCATGATTGAGAGGAGGACATGGTATAAAAAGAGTCAAAGGGAATGGACATAGAAGAAAAGAGAGTCACAGCCTACACACAGTAAACATTTTATGAAGGTAGAATATCCACAAAGAGAGGAAAACGAGGTTTGCCTTTCTGATCGGAGAAATTGCTATGGCACTACAGATGAATTATTGGATGTGTTTGGTTGCCCTATTATTGACAGTAACTTCAAGCCATGCTTTGATAAGGTAAGAGCCTTGTTCCTACATTTCTACATGCTTGCTATGCTGGAAGAATAAAATATAGTACAGCGTTAAAGATTTCCTTTGTAACTGCAGGTTTATAAGAAAAAAAATGATACTGCCAATAGTGACAGCTAAAAACAAAACAAACAAAAACAGCAACAAAACAAGTTTTATGGGTTCATCACCATAGATCTTGTCTTTAGTATTGGTTCAACACGTGTTTTTGTTTCATTTACTGGCTAGGAGCTGAGAGCAAAGCAGCCCGTGCTTTATTAAAAGCTCATTGTAAATCTGGAATGATGACTAGGCATATGTACCAGATTGTATCAGATGTAGAGCTAAGATTTCTAATGTCATTACATCCCAAGGTCCCTGTTTGGGCGGATGAATTTACAACATACTCGCTCGTCTGGTTTCTTTCCAGGATTGGCCTGCAGAAGATGCCGACTATCAGGGAGACACTGAAGGAGATGGGTGTTTCTGCAGAGCAGGTGTTGACTGAGCTAGCCCAGATGAGCACAGACGACACCAACAACGGCACAGTTCCCACGCCTCTGACCAACTACTTGGATGTGAGACACTTTAATGCATTTTATATTTAGAGAAAAATATGAAAAACCTGTTTTGTATATTTTTATGAGGGTTCTGGGTAATGCATGTTGTAGAAAATCTATACCAAATGTTATGACATTTGCTATTTAGCCTTAAAATGTGAGCCTGAAACTGAAAGCAGATTCAGTTACTTTTAAATGACCACTACTATACTTTCTGTATGAGTCAAAAGAAATGCTTCATATTTCATCCCCTTAAAACAATTTTTGTGACATTCTGAAGTAATCAAATAGGGAACATTCAAACAATGTTACAATGAATTCAAGTTTACAATGTTTTGGAACAAAATCAATCATACATTTTCTGTAATTTCCCAACAGACTCAGTACTTTGGGGAAATCAGCATCGGCTCTCCGGCACAGCTGTTCAATGTCGTGTTTGACACCGGCTCATCAAACTTGTGGGTGCCTTCTCAAAGCTGCTCACCTTTCTCCACAGCCTGTTGTAAGTGTCCATTGCCACACACACAAGCAGCAATGATTGATTACTATATAATTACTTTGTCTAAATGACAATGTGACAATGAAGTAATTCTCACCATAATGGCATATAGCCTTGGCTTTGTGGAGCTTTAAAATGAGTTTTCAGCTCATTGTTAAGCTGTAGGTCAGACATTTAAATGTTTAAATTCATTCTGATAGCTATACAGTATAACCTTGTTTCCAGCTGCAGTACAAAACTGCTTTTAGCAAAAGAGCTATAAAAACCTTCAGTGGTACCTGATCAATATCATAGTTAACATAGTTACGTTATGTTTTTTTAACTGCTGGATAAGTAAATAACTAACTCTTCCCCATCATCAATTTTAAAGGTTAAATGTTAATATTCAATTAAGAACTCTTTTCACATTCCTGCATTTGCAACCCTCAAATCTTTACAAATATATAGTATATAGTCATCCAGAATGTTTTTGTTAATAAATTAGATTTGCATAATGTATGTCAAAACATTTCCAAATACATGGTTGTTTCATCACTCAAATGCTCTTTGAACTTTTAGTTACTCACAACAGGTATGATGCCTCCAGATCCCAGACTCATGTTGATAACGGCACCGGATTTTCCATCCAGTACGCCTCTGGAAATGTCCGGGGATTTCTGAGCGAGGATGTGGTCGTGGTGAGTTCAAAGTCAATGCTCTGTAAAAAAAGACAAAGAAAAAAGTATCAGTTTTATCTGTGTACACCAATGCTCTCATTTTGCCTCACTGTGACACTCATCTTGTTTCCGCTCCCTGCAGGTCGGAGGTATTCCTGTGGTGCAGGTGTTTGCTGAAGCCACTTCTCTGTCTGCCATGCCTTTCATCTTTGCAAAGTTTGATGGAGTCCTGGGGATGGGTTACCCTAACGTGGCCATTGACGGCATCACACCGGTGTTTGACCGCATCATGTCTCAGCATGTCCTCAAGGAAGAGGTGTTCTCTGTCTACTACAGCAGGTGGGTTGAAGTCATTTCACTTTTGTCAATTTTAATGAAAACAGCGTTTCAGGGGTGCAAAATAAAGAAAAATTAAGATAGTTGGAGAAATGACAGAGTAAAGAGAAATAAAAAAATAGGGGAAACTTGATCTGTTCTTGTTGGAATTTGTTTTTCTATCTCATGGGCAGAGTTAAAGAAAAACATGCTATTAATAAAGAAAGAAAAAAATGAAGAACATTCTGAAGATTGAGAAAAATGCAGTTTTTGTTTTCTCATGTCTTTGCATATTTCTTTTTCATTTATCATAGTAAGAAAACTGTTCAAATGACATAATGTTGTTTTTCCTTGTAATGGGAGGTCCCATTGGAGTGATACAGGTCATATAATTAAACCTTAGCAGAGGCAGTCATCATCAACAAAACAGTCCCCAAATCACAGCTTCAGCACTCAAAATTAAAAAGTGCATCTCAAAGTCAGGCTTAAAGCATGAATGTTTTTTTTAGGGACCCTAAACACTCCCCCGGTGGAGAGTTGGTTCTTGGGGGCACTGATCCAAACTATTACACTGGAAGCTTTAATTACATGGACACCAGAGAGATGGGCAAGTGGGAAGTAACCATGAAAGGGTGAGAGCTTTTCTTCATTACTTATTCAGTATGTGTGTACACGCATACAAGAAACATCTGTCTTATTTTCAACCTCTTCTTTCATTCCTTCAGTGTTTCTGTCGGCGTGGAGATGATGTTTTGTGTTGAGGGCTGCACAGCTGTAATCGACACAGGCTCTTCCTACATCACAGGCCCTGCCTCCTCTGTGTCTGTCCTTATGAAAACTATCGGAGCACAGCTGGATGAAAGTGGAGTAAGATTTTACACACGCAACATGATTTCCCACCATAAACATTTGCCTTGAAACAAGAACAAATATCATTGTCATTACTCATTACATGTGTTGCTTCCATTAGTACAAAGTTAACTGTGAAACTGTGAAGACGCTGCCCACTATCACGTTCCACCTGGGTGGTCAGGAGTATTCGCTCCCTCAGGAGGATTATATCTTATGGGTAATTCAATTCAATTCAATTCAATTCAATTTATTTTGTATAGCGTCAACTCATAACAAGTGTTATCTCAAGACACTTTACAAAAAGCAGGTCAAATACCTTACTCTTTGTCTGTTAACGTTACAAAAGAGCAGGTAAAAAGACCTTACTCATTGTTATGTTACAAAAAGCAGGTAAAAGACCTTACTTATTGCTATATTACAAAGACCCGGCCTATCCATCATGAGCACTTTAGCAAAGCAGCAAAAGTTACAGTGGTAAGAAAAAACTGCCTTATTAAAAGGCAGAAATCTTCGGCCGGGGTGGGGTTGCTCTGGCAGGCCGTCAACCAACGATCCGGTGGGGAGGGGGTAGGGGTGGGGGTTGTTCTGGCAGGCCGTCAACCAATGATCTTGAGGAACCTAAGAGAGCTCAAGAGTTCTTAGGAAAGTTGGTGGTTAGTGACTGAGATTTACAGATAGATACATGCAGTAATATGATGTACTGTATATGCACAGAGAGAGAGAGAGAGAGAGAGAGAGGAGCTCAAGGTGCCAGTTTCCCCGGTAGTCTAAGCCTATAGCAGCATAACTAAGCAGGATGATCAACGCTGAATCATTTTAGCATGAATAGACCGGGTTGGAATTTGACATAAGGCACTCTATGTTGTGACACTAATCTAAACTCCGCTGACTTATAAAACATGATCCCTTGTTACATTTTAAAGACCCTGCACATGCTCAACCTCAGATGTTTTCACTTAGGTGGTTGATTTAAACTGTGGATGAAGAAATGAAAGCATGCGCCGGGTTTACTTGGGCTCATTTTGTGCTGATAAGAAGTGCTTACTGGTCACGCAGCACTTGGAATTCCCAATGAACTCCTGAAAATGATCTGATAACAAGGAGCACAAAATATATGTGGAAATACCTACAAAATATGCAAACTGTTGTACTGTTCCTTTTATAGTGGCTTGTCGTGCAAAGACTCACTTTTCTTTTTGTCTCCAGCAAACACAGATCGAGGGCGACGTCTGCACCGTCACCTTCAGGGGTTTGGATGTACCGCCCCCTGCAGGTCCCATCTGGATTTTGGGAGCCAATTTCATCGCCCGCTACTACACAGAGTTTGACCGTCGCAACAATCGAATAGGGTTTGCCACAGCAGTCTGAAAGTATCTTAAACATCAGCTGTGTTGTTGTTTTGTTTTTTTCTTTTACTTTGCTGCTATCTCCAGTACTCACTTCAGTCGCTTTTTATGATGACCCATGATCAAAGTACATCTTTAAAAAAGAAAAGAAAAAAAGATACACAAGTACACATTGAGGAATATCACTCTCTATTTTTTTTTGCCTATTCTCTGTTATATTACATTTTGAACAGTTGCACTGAATACCTTCTAAACTTTTTTTTTTTATTTATAAGCATTTACAAGCAAATGCAATGTTTCTTTGTGTGACCGCTGTTTATATCCTACAGTAACAATGACAACCCCTACCTTCATTGTATGGATCTAATGAGAATAAAGTTGTTTTACTGCAGGGGTTTACATTTGAGTCTAACTTCATTATTGACTGTCTGTTTGTCTTCAAGTCCTTTGAATGCACTCTCTAACCATGTGAAAGTTAAGGCTGGAAAAGTGAAAACAGATTGTCTGAGCAGATGTAATTAGCCACAGCAAAGGGATAAGGGGAATATTTGTCATTGTTTATCACTGTGTATAAACATTTGTAGGTTTAAGTTAGAAGGTAAATTAATCTGACACACATCTCATGTATGGCAGTCATGTGTGTTGCAGCGGCGTAGTCTGACATGAACTGTGCTGTTCTGTACAGTGGGGCTTTATATTAAGCAAAAATGAGTAGGAGATTTTATTTCCTTAATCAAATCTTCCTTTTTCCAGACTGTGCAGCTCGTGACAGTGAGGAACTGGCTTTTCCTGTTGCAAGACAAATTATGATGAAGCCGTAATTGTTTTTTTGTAGCAAGGAAATCGTGATTTAGAGTTGAAATCCTGTTTTGGGTTGCATAATTAGAAGTTCTAAACTTAAATTCTCTTAAGGAGTAAACATGTCTCATTTGGGTCAATTTAAGACTGACTCTACTGTACAGAGACAGTTATTTCTGCTTACTTAGTAGACAGAAGAGACATATGAGATACCAAAACAACAAAAGCACAGATATCATCAGATGCTGCTGTCAGATCTTTTTGTCTCATTTTATATGAATTGGTTGGGGAAAGTCCAAACATGCAACAGTATTCTTGCCATGCTTCCTTGCTCTCACATCCATGAATTGTTTGGGATTGGATGTTATCTGTTGGTCATAGACAGTGAGGTGAGGGTGGCTATCTCTGCAATTGAATTTAATCAGTATGTTCAAAACTTTCTCAATATGCTAGGCTTTGAGTCAACAAAAATACGCAGGCTGGAAACCAGCCCAAACAACAGCCAAAAGACATTAAACAAAATAAACAGATGGAGACGTTCATGAGATATTATCTGTATTGTTCCTGGCAAATGTTTTTTAAATAATACTCTTTGTTTTTTTATATTACAAAAGAGCAGGTAAAATGACCATACTTAATGCTATATTACAAAGACCCGGCTTAACCCATCATGAGCACTTTAGCAAAGCAGCAAAAGTTATATTGGTAAGAAAAAACTGCCTTATTAAAAGGCCGAAATCTTCAGGCCGTATCCTGGGCTCATGACGAAACAGCCTACACAGGCCTAGAATGCGCCGGGCTATTGAATACTCAGCCAGAGCTTAAAGCCTACAGAAGTTAGACTCCTTAAAATCTGTGCTCTTAAATTGAGGGCACACGGGTTAAACCTATTTTACCAAACTGTAAGCTATTTGAAACGTCAGTGCAGCTCATGCTGTTATAATATGTAACAACATCCCTTACCCTCCTACAACCTTAATAAACATAGGGAACTGGGAAAAGATGTCCCAAGATAGCATGTTAGCTAAACCCTACTGTGCCTGAAGCTAGCAAAATTAAGCTATCAACAACTCTTTGATTTTCATTTGCTACTTGTTTAGTCTTTGTAAGTGCTTATAATGAGATTTTTGTTCATTCCTGAAAGAGCAGGATTTACATATAAACTAGGGGGGAAAGGCCCCCACAACATATTAGTTAGACTGGGCTGTCTGCTACCAAACAGCTACAAAAACGAATTATTTAAATTTTATCTCATTTGTAAAACATGTATAAAAAGTGTAAATACTTATATGCAGAATTTTGTTAGAACTGTGGCTTAAGAATTAGGCTATGTTATACAACCTTCTGGCAGAGATAGCTGTTTATGCAACATCATAACTCCTCCTGATAGAGGAATCTTTGATGTTCAGTCAGAGATGAAAGTGATATCAATCTTCTCACCTAACTCTTGGCAAGATAAGCTTATTAAAATAACATTTGAGTAAAATGGTGAGGGTCAACACTATCCTGTGGCTAGAACTGTTACAGTGCTAATTCAAAATCTCACTTGAACTTGGGGAGATTTGGCTCCCGGAGCATTATCGAGGCAAAGTTTGATTCAAAATCTCCAGAGATATGTGTTGTCTATGACTTTTGGAGATAGGCCTAGTATTCAATGGGAGTGGATCATTGTTCCCATAGGGTCCTTTTCCCCCCAGGGCATCTGTCCACCAGCTGAATACCCAGGAGACAATTCTCAGCAATGTCAGGTCAAATGTATGTTGAGTTGTGTTGAATTACTATATCAAAACCAACCACTTACTGCTTAAAGCCAACTAACATTGAAACCTTTTTACCAACCGAGTTACATTTTAGACATCTACCTTTGTTCTTGTGCAAAGTTCAACTCAAATACATCTCTTACTGTACCATTCTCTTACAAGTGAACATAGGACCATGGGATCATCATGATGACTCCTATTTAATGCGCTTACCCAACCCTTCAATTTTACTTTCAGATATTTTATGCTATGGCACAGACAACAAACACATCCAAACAAAAATAGTAATGGTTAACATACCATAAAAAACTGATTATGTGAAGCAGATGGGGGATCAATCTTAAATATAAGCTGCAATATTCTTCTCCCATGATTCGTTTCGATTTTTGTGTGCAGTTGAAGTCACACAAGCATTTGACGGACCTAGTGAAAAACAAGGCACATGAAAAGTTAGGCAGCTCCATTCCCATGACTCCCTTTGCTGTCTTGATAAAGCCCTACATTTTAAACTGATCACGAATCACTGGCTCATGTCATTCTATATTTTTCCTACTATCAGTGAATCCAATGAAAAGACCAAAACCAAAAATGTATTTGTCTCTCATCACCTTCTGGCCTTCCAAAAATGTCTGCAGCACTTAACCCCAAGCCCATTTATTTCAACTGAAGACAGAAATTGGATATAAACATGAACTTTAAGAAGCTGGATTTCTTTCAATTTGGTTAAACCCGCCGTGTTGAACATTTGTCTCCCCCCTCTGGCAATAAGAGCAATTACACACAGTTCACAAGACTTGATCTATGAGTTCCCAGACTTATGTCTTCATTGCTTAAGGAGGAAAAGTTAATGGCCTATTATCCTTGTTGGTCCTCTCCTTTGATCCCTGTCTTTTATAGACTGCAATTCCTGCTTTGAAGGTTTCAATTTATCTGAACTGTCAGAGACTTTTTCTGGATGCCAGAGGTGGTTCCAACATACTATCCATTCACGTTGTCTACTTTGCCGCAACAGTTACTTCACTCTTCAGCACTGGTAAACCAATGATTCCTTGTTAATGAAAAATACATCACAAATGGTGGGCCAGTGTGGTCATGTAGACACTACTTTTAAAGTAATTTCATTGCTGCATCAAAACAAAAGGATTTAAAGAGTTGAGTGAAACATTCATTAATGTACAGTAATGCACGAGTGCACATGCTTAATTTATTTCCTGAAAAGGCTTGGTAACAGAGAAGGATTGGCATTTTTGTTGTTTATTTGTTACTTTTTTGGGCTATACTTTAATGGCAGTATTTCAAAAGGGAAAAAAACTATAGTCTTGCCAACACAGACAGTACTCTGTACTCTGAAGATCTTGTGATGCAGTTGTTGTTCTTTTCAGGAAATTGGTTAATTTGGTTAATAACGAATATCACCAGACTTTCAATTCTATTCTGACCTCTTCAGTCAGTGGTTTTGCATCCGTAGTTTCTAGTATAATGAGAACCATTTAAGGGGTTATTTCATCAGGATTATGTGCCTGACAATAATATTATGAATTATGATATCACAGAGAAAGAACACTGAGCTACAAATCTTGCATTCTAAAGCCAAAAACTTCTTTCAGAGTTATCATTCAAATTGGATTGGGCTATCTGATTGATATTATTGGTGTTCTAGCATTGACACAGTATTTTTATGTCTTTGCTGTAGAAGGGAGAGCTAATTTTCACTAATTTGCATCCTGTTGCGTATTTTCTTTTCTTTCTTTTCTCTTCATTTTTTTTTAATCTGTTTGTGTGTTGATCAGATTTGCCATGATCAGATTTGTATGTAAAAAGTTGCTCTGTAAAGTAACTACAGCTGTCAATTTAAAGCAGTTGAGTCAACAGTACACAAAAATGGCACAAATTGGAAACATTCAAGAAAACACAACTTCCTCCAAACCAAACTAATTACAGTACTTTACCCCACCACTGCTAAAATAAAAACAACACATTTTGCAGTACAACTTCAATAAATGAGTCTGATACATCAGTTTACGATGTAAGGTGTAGGAATGTGTTCATACGCAAACTGTGAGAATTCACTTCCTGTGTTAATAGATTCCAGGCCAAATGTGTTATTTTCCTCCGTTGGAGTCCGTTGAACTGTTATGAGAAGAATTCCCCATCAAAAGTCGCCCCCGCTTGTGTGTGTCTCTCTGCAGGGTTAGGTCAGGTCTTGCAAATAGTAGCAGGCGACACACCCACAAAAACACCCTGACTTTCCTTTGGTGCAACATGGCGTTAGTAAGAAATAAGAAAAGAGAAAGATTTGGATTCCTTGAGCAGCATGGAACATCTGCTGGCTTGGACTACCTCTGGGGACCCCCATAGTGATGTGCAGATCTTCTCTCTGACTGCAGCTTATTTTTCTTGCCCAGTGGGTCCACTTGATCACAGGATTTATTCTCCTGAGAAAAACAAGGATGCATTGCTCCTGATTAACATTGTTATTCTGAGAGTTCATGCATGGACTGATGTTTAAATGGAGGACTTTTTTTCCAGAGATATAGAGTTTCAAGAATGAGAGCAGATGTTATCGGAACCAACTTTAAGCTCCCCATAGCTTTTATTAGTACATTTTTGTACCAAGTTATTCCCTAAGAAGACCCACAGATTGGACCAGAAAAAGAACACATTTTCAAGTCAGTCTACAACTTAAAAAACTGTTTGTCATAACACATCTGCTGCGACACAGGACGCGGAGAGCTGTCATACAGAAGAGAGGTGGGAGGTCTTTAAAAAGGGCCGTCTGTCAGCTGAAACAGTTAGTCTGCTTTTGAACTCACTCTGTGCAGAAGGAGCACATCAGGCAATGCATTGAATAACAGCGCCACATGACGAAGTGACATTTTTCCTGAACGGCAAATTCCTTTCCATGGAGTGGAACTGACTATATGACAAGGATCTCTTTGCTTCAATGTATGTGACAGAGGAGTCTGGTGTTTTCCATTGTCAAACACGTACCAGATGACCATCCTTGTGTCAAACCTGATTCAGAGCAAAGCTAAGGTAGGTGAGAACTTTTCTACAATTGCTGCAAAAAAAGTTCATTAAAAACGCTGTCAGCACTGCGTACAGGAGTAGACCCGAGCATGCTTGTGTTGGTGGATGAAGCTTTCTTTCTTGATTGTGCAGATTGATGACCTACATACAGACATCATAGACAGCATGGCGAAAAACAATCATGTGACAGGTGACATTTGCACCATGTGCTCCTGCATTTGCCACATACCAGTCACATTAATAGTTTTATTAGATTACATTAATTTCATTATGTTTCATCATCAATCATCTAGTGGGTCTACAATAGCAGTCAGAGGCTGGCATGATAATCTCTCGGCTCACACTGGGCATCTTGTTTTACTTGGAGAATCACTGTTGGTTCCATCTTTGCTGTTTAAAAACAGTAATTCCCCAAATTGCTTTTTATCTCATTTTATTGTTAAATCCATTATGTCACAAGATTTGTTTCCTCCCCTTCAGACCCCAGCATTACATTTGCATGCACATTTTGTTCAGCCAAGGTTCATGGGAAATCGCTCGAAGTGATCAATGCAGGAAACATAAAGAGTTAAACTTTACAGCTTTGTGTAATATGAGGAACAGACGACAAATAATGAAAGGGATACATGCTGTCTCTTGTGGTTTTTGAAGAATTGTCTTTTGTGTCTTAATATAGCTCAGAAGTCAAGCAGGAAACGGCTAAATCAGTTTTTTTGTTACAGTTTAGTCTTTCTCTGGCATCTGTTTTGACTGTTGCAATAGCAAGGGTCAAATGAGTTAAGGAATGATTATCATAAATACCTCTCAGGGCAGACATTTTGCCCACAGTGTGAAAAACATATGCTTGTCCCCCATCTTTTAATCCTCAGTAGAAGTCCATCTGGAGCCCATTTCACTGTAACAGTTGCCAAAAGGTGCTTGGTAGCAGAAATCATTCTAGTCAGTGCATGATGCTCTCCCAAGCCATGCTTTATATGGTAGAGGGCACTATTTGACCAGAACTGGAACTAATCTTGCACCAAAATAAGTTCCTTTGAGGTCAAGCACAGTTATACATCAGCTACTGGAACAAAAACCTGATACTTGAACCGAGATCCAGAGCTGTCATAAATAACAAACATTATGTGCAGAGGTTAGGAAAAGGTGGTGTTTTTCTTGTAAGCGAGCAGCTACTCCTGTTAAGTCATACTTTATGTAAACATTGCAAAGAACATGATGTTCAGAAAAGCAGGAATGCTCAAAAGCATATACTGTAAAAGTGGTTTTGGCACATGGAAAAGAAAATTCCATTGAAGATTGCTTTGAACTTTGTTTTTCTAGTAAAATGATTTATAAGCGAACTCTTATGATGACAATTTTGTAGGGAAAAGTCTATAAGAGTGTGATTGCTTTTTGGAATGCATTCATCTTGGAAAGGTTAAGGTTTTAGATGCCATATCTGCCATTAATGATGCTGTGGTTTAGTTTGATGGCTTTGCTATTTTAGCGTATTTATCTTCTTGAGCTGTCCTGCTGAGCAAAGGGTCATTCTGTGTGTGTGTGTGTGTGTGTGTGTATGTGAGCTGAGGGATGTAAAGATAATGCATGGTTCTGTCAGTTGCAGGTAAAGTGTCTGTGTGTGCTTATGTTCCTGAGCTTCCCTCTGACTATGGCTGAGGTCCCTGGTCCATGCAGACACTCCATCACTAGGGAGCACCTGCTGACAGTCAGGCATCTGGTAGGTGTTGAATCATCAAGACATACAAGGCTGTTGGATTACAGAAAGATGCCTCGATCATGGGATGAAGTCTTCCTTTTGTTCCCTCTGCAGATGGATAACCAGTTAAGAAGCGGGTGCACCATCACCTACACATTCACAGAGCGGAAGAGTTTGGTAAGGTAACATTTATTTTATGGGGCTGTTTCCTCCCGAGGCCTTTGATTAAAACTTTCCATTAACTGTATCACATGTTTAGTTAATGACCTCGCACTCTGATTTCCCGCAGAGCAAATGTTGCTTTGTTAAAGCTGCTTTACCGTGGATCCTGGAGCTCCTAACCACACACTTCAAATATAATCGAGGATCAGTCAATGACGGCTACGTTCAGTCCCTGAGGGCCCTCATCCTCAACATTTACTCTCAGAAATGTGTCCCTCAGATTAATGAGGAGGTTGAGGTGAGTCTGGGCTTCAGAGCAGGGATCCTGTGGATTGTTTTCTCAGGAATGAGGGATTAAAGTGTCTATAATATGAAACATAGAGAAGAAATATGTGATGAGAGGAACTGCCAAGGATGAACAGATAAATCTGCAAAAACATGTAAGGTATTTTCTGGGAATTTGCTGCAGGATAAGCCAGAAAGTTTTGAGATGCTGTATAGAGGGTCTCCGTCCGAGGCGCTGCAGAGGGCGTCAGAGGTGCTGTCTGCCTACTGGGAACTAGTGACGACCAGTGATGCACCAGTCGATTGGCACTGCCAGCAAGAATACATAGAAACCTTTGGGTCGTCGACAGAGCTGTTTACAGAGTCACCAACAGAACATTTTACCGGTGGGAATTTTGTCTTTTGGAAAGTACTCTGATGAATTTCACAGATGTCTGAGGCCACTGAGATTACATATGACGTGTCCTTTTCTACAGACAGTTATGGTATCAACTCAGAGAAGGCCTCACACAGGAGATCAGACAGAGACCTGTACAAGCTTGGCTTCATCATTGCCTCCATCTGCGGAGGACTGCTGTTCATCCTCACACTCTACTGTCTCATCACACAAAAGGTACCAGTGCGTCTGTTTAGTTAATTCCTAATTCACATGTGCCCTTATAAAGTCTAGCCATGCATTCCTATCATATTGCAGTAAAGGAGGCCTTGGCTGTTTGGCTGTGTTCTCTGGGGAACTCCCTCTTGCAGAAAGACCAGCCCTCCCACAGCTGGTAAATACAGAGCATAACAAAACAAGGTAGAGGCTGTGAGAGCAAAAGTGCTGTTTTGCAACAGCAAATGCGCCAAAGTCTGAGTGCATTTAAGCTCTTCCCTCCATTTGAAGCAATTGGCGCCATCAGCTATTATCAGATGCAGAAAGGCCAGGGCTCACAATAGGTCATAAAATGAACATAATGTCAGTTTTAAACAACGTCCTTAAAGATTAAAGAAACAAAAGTTGTACTAAAGGCTTGAAAGATAAATAAAGTAAAACCTTGAAACAACTCTTTGGAAACAATTCCTAGAAAGCAAAAATATGTTAAATAGGCTTACTAAAAAATTATCTTGGCATTGGTGTAGTTGATTTGTGTCTTTGTACAGGCGGGGAAACGTAATTGAACATTTGATCAGGGGAGATTTTAAACATTTGCTCGAGACTTGGAGGACGGGCTAATGAGCTGTACAAAATCTGGAAATGGTTCTCTTATTATTTTAGTCTAAAAGTCTGGGATGGTGGTAGATGAAGTGGTTTCAAATTTGTGTTTTGTTTACTTTGTCAAATTCAATAAGCTAATTTTTAAACTCTACTCTGCAACAGGCTCCACACAGGGCTTTGTACAACCACAGCAAAAAAAATTGAATGCTGATTTCAATTGCCCAAGTATTGCTAGTGCATGTTATACGTGTGTGGTGATGGTCATAAACTCCTGTAAGAACTGCTCAGACGACATTGAGAATCACTTAGTGCCACAATGTGTTTAGTTCTTTAACAAGCATGCTGAATGACAGGATGATTTGAAAATGAGGCTGCGGATGGATTTCGATTCGCACACCAGAAGAAAGAGAAGCTTACGTCAGTGCCTTTCCGCATATAATCACATCAGAGCTCCGCACAAGTGGTAAACAAATGGATCTGTTATGAGCTGTTGTGTAGGGGTGTTAGGCCTGCGGTTAGTCAGAAGCTGTTTTTCTCAAACAGAAAAGTTTCAGACTTCACACGTGCTGGCAGAATCACAGCAACACCTACTAGAATCTGCTGACAGAATCACACAAAACTCTGCAGCTGGTAAACCAAAAAAAGGAAGGGAGAGCTTTTATTTTCTTCCTGTCATTAATTGAACCTGTGTTGTTCAGAATGTAATCTGATTTAATTTTCTGCTTTTAAATGGCAAATAGCAAGACTTGATGGGCTGGATCGTTTACAGCAGGTGATAAGGATTTTTATAAAACAACGAATTATCTATAATATAGCTACAGAAAAAGGAATTGACACCCAGTTATTACTCAAATGTTCATTCTAAATGTCTATGCAAGGACAAATCATTCCTTACACTATTAAACAAAACAAATTCAAAACAATTACAAAAAAAAATAGACAACCGCATTCAATCACTCACAAAATCAAAGTCACCACAACACGCACAAGATTTTCATAATTCTTCAGCTATGTGAGTAAAAACAATTTGAGGACTTACTAATGAAACTAGCTACACAGCTCTTACTAGCCAGAAGGCAACTTCCTGTTAGCTTAGCTAACCCTCTAGGCAAATAAAACGTTACGTAAGAAGCTTACTTTCTGCTCAAAACACTTTACACTACGTATGAAGCTCCCAGATGTTCTGACAGCCACAAAGTTCTACAAGTCAGTGTCTCCGGCATTAGCATCCTTATTGTTAGGTTTAGCAGCCTGTGATCACGACTAGCCTCCTGAAATAATCTTTTTGTCACTCTTTTTTAGAAAATCAGTGACATAAGGGAAGCAGTCCCTAATCAGGGTTAGGACAATCTTACTAGTAATGTGTCTTTGTCATACATTTATAGTCGTACACATAACCATAAGAACATGCTAAAACATTTGACAACAAGCAGCAAAGACCAATGGTCATCGCTTGCCCCACTGGAATGAAACGATAATATTTAGTATTTATAATATCTGTAACTTAAAGCCGTACCGATGTTGGTACATGTGTATTTTACAGTTCAAAAATATTTTCATCATAAACTGGAGGGGATGGAGGGGATGGAGGGGATGGGGGGCTACGGCTGTTTAAAGGAAGTTGCAGTCAGCAGTGAGTGCACAGCAATGGAAGAGGGCTTTTACATGAAGTGCATCTACTTCTGCCTGTGGAATGCTACTGTTGCTGTAGCCCTTAGCAAAGCTATTTTCAGTAGCTTTTGCCTGTATCACTTTATTTCACAGCCACAGTGTTTGAGCAAACGTTGCCCTGCCAACTACCCCGCTTTAAGGCCGAAGCACCAAACCCCCTTCTGACTTTAATTAATATCATCTGTGTTCTCAGTGAGCTTGTGTGGCTAACATAGGATGAAAAGACTCTCAATAATATTTTAGGAAGTGAACAATGTTAGAAATGTTGTGCTACTTGGGGCAACTGAATTCCGTTGAACATAAAACCCTATTAATCCTACAAAATTAACATCTTTGGTCAGTGGCTGTATTTTTAAAACCCTAAAAATTGAATAAGATATGATAATTAATTGATGTTTAATATTAAGTATAAGCGAATGTTTAAAGATTTCTTAACATTTACAAGTCTTTATTGCTGTGATATATAAGAGCTGTGTAATTATAGTCTGCAGGGGGTCTGTGTCATGTTACGCCCCAAAAAGTCGTTGCTAACTTGGATTAAGTCTGCCATGAAGAAACACTTGGTCACACCTTTCTATGCTTTGATGTAATGTAGTCTATATGTTATTACAACTGGAGGCCTGTGAGAGAGTTCGCAGCTATAACTTGGCAATAAATTGTAAGCTGTCCCGAACACATGCAAGCTCTGTACACCTGCACGTTTTTTTGTGATATGGCGGCACTGATTTAAAAAACTGCACTGAAGCCAAGCCTATAACTGCATGAACGTTCAAATCTGAGCCAAACATACGGCACGTTTTAGTAGCAAACAAACGGTCTCTTTCAGAAGACCTTCAGTTCCCATCGCTGCTGCACTGTTCTCCTTGCAGAGGTTGATTTTGGCCGTGTTCCTTTCTTAACTGACCTGTGACCCACCTCGGTTGCCACCCACTAGTTGAGCACAAGGAGTTAGCTTTGCTTTGTCTACAGGGAAACACCAAATAATGTCAACATCGCATTGCTAAGAACTTCAAAGTGATAACCAAAGTGTAGATTTTAACCTAGACAAAAATTTGCTTCTGTTCATTTGAAAGGGTTTTTTTTGTTTGTTTACTACAAAAAGAAATACTGAAGTTTGGAATTCAGGTTTGGATTCCAGTATAGACACGTTTTACTGGTTAATTTCTAAAGTATAAATCTTCACACATAACACTGTCTGTTCTGCTCTATCATCAGTCAGATTATTGTTTGCAAATGGTAAATACACTTCAACACTAAGGTGTGTTTGTGTGTGTGCGTTACTTTGCCAACAACCCTGTAGTTCTCACCATGTGTGGCCTCTCGGTTTTATTTCATAAGCTCTTTTCTTTCCAAAACAGAAAACTCTCAACCCACATAGATCAATATCATACACAAACTCAAGGTAAGAACACACCAACACATACAATGAAAAACAATCAGCCTCTATGCGTTGAGTGAACTAATGCATAATATTGTCATCCGGAGTAAAGCAGAGACCTCCAGGACATAGAGATGGAGCCACAATAACGTGAGTACTGTTCTCCCCTACATAAAAGTGTTAAGAACTGTTAAACAGCGAGAACTGGAACCTATTAAACAAACACCTGTGTCTGCCTCAATGTAAAGTGAAACAGCAGAGCACATACATCTTTACATTTTATGTGCTATTCTCTGTCTCCACAGGTAGTAAAGACCACATCGCTGCAGCAGCAGACGGAGCACATGTGAAGCTGTACATTTTACCCATCATGATCAAGTTTCCATATCAGTACCGTGTGTGCAACTTATCATGCTCTCCTATTTAATCAGAAGCTTGGCTTTGACTGAGAACAGAGATGGACCTTATTTTGAAAACCATGCTATGTATATAATGTTTATGCGTTATGTATTACAGATTTCTTCTCAAGTCCACTAAAAAAAAGTTTTATTTTTACACTAGTTATGTATGTTTGATAATGTGTCTCCATTTGCTACCACTTAACCAAATGTTCATATTGATGTTTGCAAATACTACAATTATTTATTAGTTTGATTTTATTCAATCCACTGAACTGATAATAAAAAATCCATTTATACTGAAACCAAAACAAAATGCTGTCTGCCAAGTAGTGAATCACTATGAAACCACATCTGAAGGTAATGGCCTCATTAAAGGATTCAACCTGAATTTTACTTAAATTTTCACTTTAATGAGAAGCCATAAAAGCTTTTATTCTCTTTTGTTTTTATTCCTTTTATGTTCGTGTCATTATCAGTCAAATACGCTCATCAATGTTCTTCTGTCATTTTTAATGTAGCAATAACCAAATTTTTTTTATTGCAAAACAGTATGAATAGTTCAACATGCACCCTGGAGTATAACTGTTGTCGGTCACCCACACTGAGCTGCTGAGCAAGATAATAAAATGGATAGACTCACAGCAGTTGCTGCTGCAGCTTCACAAGAAATGTCCCCACTGGGCAGGGTGTGACAGGATCTGATAAGATTAGATAGTTGTTAAGGAAATTTTTCTTGGCTGCATCCAGTTTCTTCTGTTAAGAAACACACAAAATCACATGGTGGGAAGAGCTGGGTGGTTTTGGCAAAAAGGATAATACTGAGAGAAGAGGGGGATGAGGGGGGGGGCAGTGAGAGGCTGTGATGACTTTCACTCATGTACATTCAGTGATGGTCCAGCCTTATGTTTTATAATAAAAAAAAATTGCATAATGTCTGAGTTTGAGAACCGTTCCCCACACTTTGTTATGTGTCTTGCTAAGGAGTGCGTCAGTAAATCCTGTCAAAAGATTCCCACATGTGGTCATGTGCATGTGTGCTGGCGGCTATTTTGTTTTTTTCAAAGTCTGTGTAGGAAGCAGAGGAGGGAAGGAAAAAAAAAAAAGGCCCAACCTTACAGCCTCTGCAGAATTGCAGCCTGCAATTTAACCTGATCTGTAACATCCTTAATTTCACAGGCTACTGCTTATCAGTGTGCAAACTACTGTGGCATTGGCAGCAATCCATTCTTCATCCCAAAACATCACTCCATTACTAAACAAGGAAAGTATTCCTGTAATTCAATTTAGTGCCTTTCTGCAGAGGATTAAAGGCAGCTGTGGAAGATGAAAAGGCGAGTTGTCTTCAACAATAAATATGTGGGAACTGCCTAAGACCAGTTAGAACTGTCGAGGAGCTGCCGCCCCTTTTCGCCCTGCCCGCCTCTATTCCCTTCAAATTAGAGAAAACAGAAGTTGTTATCGTTGCAATTACTGTATCTTGGTCAACGTTCAAGTGGAAAATAACTCTGGGAACTTTTTTTTCTGATGCAATAATGGTAAAAAAAATGAATTTAGAAAAGCAAATGTAATTGATAACTTTCTGGCTGTGTGAATATAAACTGAATTGGGTCAATTTTCATTTCAGAATTCTGACATTAGCATACCGACTTCAACCATTTATCAAGCACACATTGTCTGGGATATACATACAATATGTGTGGGCTCAGAAATTACAAGCAAAGACATCTTTCTCAAATCCTAAAGAAAATTAAAAAATAAACAAAAATAAGCATTAGATAACGGTTGTAAGATACAGTCATTAAGGTAAAACGTGATAATATTTTGAGGCTCATTAGCTAATAAAGACACAAACACAAGGGCACAAAGCTTTCAATGTATTTCTATAAGTAAACATGAAGCCATGTATTCATGATGGAAAGTACGTTACAGAGAGACTCATTGCTGCTGTTTTATCACCTTATGCCACACGGTGGAGGCAAAGATCCAAACTGAATCTAACACCAATCTAATCACAGATTATACAGGTATTATTGTGGCTGACATGATACAGGCATAACTTTCCATCATCGGCATCAGTGATATCTATAATTGGAGTATGATTTTGCCAAAACGCTAGAACTGATAATCTAATTAGTTTAGGACAACAAGTCATGTGGCCTCTTCAAATCACTCGTTGAGCCATACAACATCTGGATACGTGATTATACAACAGTGGTATTTCCCGTTGACTAACACTGGAGCTGTTTAATCAATTGGAATAATAATAATGGCACTCATAGCATCTTAAAAACACATTATCTTAACAGACAAAATGTTTTGATGGAGTGGACTGTCAGCATGTTGGTCAAACGATGATCACAGATGATAACAGGTCTGTTTGCTACAGATGGAGCAGAGGCACCAGGGATGACATAAGACGCATCGCACACGCAAGAGAGCCGGACGCACTACACATCAATGAAAGCAACACGACGCAAACAGTAGGCGGCTTCGGCAGGAATGTCTTTGGCACCGATCTTGTTGGCATCCAAGCGCAGCACTCTCAGCCTGGAGAAGTTTCTCATGTCAATGGTGCTGCAAAAACTGCTCAGCGAGAACTCTAAAAGACAACAAGAGGAGAAAAAATATGGTGGGAGGTCAGTGATCACTGTAAACTCCTACTGGGACATGAAATAATCCTGTAATAAAAAGTTACAGTTCATTATTTTATTTTACAGCTACTCAAGAAGCCATGTGATTTGAACATTTTCTCCCTGTTTTTGATAAAAGTTAAGTTGTGTTTTTCTTGTTTCATAGGGTAATGTTTTTGTTGGTTTTTTAATGGTTTGTATAAAGTTTGTTTTGAGTCTGTATGAGAGTCCAAATAGAGAATTAATGAGAGAAAACGCCTTAAAAGACCAATACTCATTGTTCTAGCAGACATCTAGTGGTTATAGTAGTGCTTCGCTACACACTCAGTCCGGACCCCGACAGAGATGGTGTGACGTCACTGTTGGGCGTGGCCAAAAGTACAACAAATACAAATTTAAGACTTGGAGTTTTGGAAAGCTGAGAAAGTAAACTTTGTTAAAAGCTGGAAGTTGTTGATATTCCAAATACAACTGTGACACCTGGGAGGAAAGAAATAATACGACTAAGCTGCCAGCATTTCTGATTTTCACTTAAGTTCCAAATCACAAAACCTACTCGTGTGCATTCAATCAAAGGGTTGTGTGACTCTATAAATGACGCACGGGGGATAAATTAGATTTCTCTTCCTCCCAATTTAATGTGTAACCTAATTAAATTAATTCATTGTGTACCATTTTAAATCCACATTAATGCAAGATAATGTGCCATGCTGTGCCAGCTAACACAATAACAGTCAGGATTAAGTTAAAACATTTTCTAGCGTGTCCTTTTTAAATAGAGATGAATGGTCAGTAAAAGAGTAACTTGGAGAACACCAGTGCATTAGCTCAGCGTTGTTACTCATGGCTTCACAGTGAATGTAGAAAATGGCATTTACATGGAAAAAAACAACTATAATAATAATAATTAATAAACTTTCACATCCTCAGTTTAAGGATGGTTTCAATACATAACATGATTGTTAAAATGGTTTGATATCATGTTTGAGTGTTAAAAATCACCTAAAACATACCTGTCATATTGTAAACCTTACTTTTATATTCTCATGGGACTTTGAAGTCATTTAAATTCTTTAGAATCAAAGTTTCAAGTAAAATAAAAAACTTGAGTAACAGAAAGTTTTCATACCTTTGATCTTATTGGCATGTAAATAAAGGTTCTCCAGGTTCCTACTAACAAGAGGGATTTTCTCCAGTTTATTAAAAGACAGATCAAGCTCAACCAGCGTGCTGATGTTAAAGACATTGTAGGGAAGACCTTTATCTGTCAGCCTGTTATGAGCCAACCGGACAAAATGCAGTTTGGGATACATGGAGAGAAATCCTGCTGGCACGCTGTCTATGTTGTTGAACTCCAAGTAGAGCTGCTGCAGCGTCTCGGGAAGGTTTTCAGGGATTTTCCTCAGCTTGTTCTTTCGTATATCCAACAAGGTCAGAGACTTCAGTCCCTTGAACACACCTCCAACATCCTCTATGGCATTTGCTTGGAGCTGCAGTGTGGTGATATTAGCCATCCCCTCAAACGAGTTAGAGTTTATTTTTGAGATCTTGTTGTGACCAAGTCGCAATGTTGTGATTGAATTGGGCAAGTTTGGAGGCACTCGTGTGAGCTCATTGTGATCCAAGTACAGCTGGTCCAGGTTCTTGAGCTTGCTGAAAACATTCTTGCCAATCTTGTCTGAGTTGAGCTGGTTGTGAAACAGTACAACCCACAGCAAGTTTGTAGCATTGTCAAACACTCCATCCTGGATGCTTGTGATCTGGTTACGCTGCAGGTAGGCGTATTTGATATGTGAAGGGACGTAGGGAACATGCTGCAGGTTGCGGCCGTGACAGTACATAGCTGTGGGGTAGGCAGACGGGCAGTCACACTCCAGGGGGCAGTCCATGTCCTCGGCCTGCCAGCCGACATGCCGGCGTCGTCCTCTCAGCTGTGAAAGCCACTGGAGCTGACTGTAATGCTGGCTGACACCCAGCTCCACAAGTCCAATCATAACGAGGAGAACCACTGACCGCATGATGACTGATGGAAACCAGGAAGAAAGAAATGTCTGCTGAAGTCAAATTCAGGATATGATTAACAAAACAAAAAAAACACTCTTATTAAGAAATGCTACTACCTTTAAATTGGTCCAAGACTTAGCTAACTCTCTCTGCTACACTTTTACAATAAACAGCAGTTATAGTATACACCTTCTCCCTTGCTCACCTCGCCTGTGTCTCTCTCAGACTGCAGGAATATTTTGTTGGTATGAAGTAAATACCCCCCTCTCCAAACGTAGCTGCAGCCCTGCCACCCAGTCTCATTAGAGCACATACATCTTCCACTTGCAGAATCTAAAATATAGCATATACCCTCCAGCCATGTCAATATCAATCCCATCTGTGGACTGGTGAGGCCATCTGCTTTTTAACAACCTTGTTTTCCCTTACTGTGTCATGCCTTATCATTAGCGCAGCCACTTGAAGCCTAGCTAGCTTTATTCTTGTGCTGCTGAGGTAGTGAAGAAGGTGGGGGGTCATGGTATAGAATATTTAACGAACCTTACTAGATGCTTTAACTGGTGCTGTGGTTCTCAAATAAAAAATGCAGCTTCGTTAAAGTTTAAAATATAACTCTGAAGTTGTAGCATGCGCTTGCCTTTATTATAAACTATATGTTTAAACGTATGCAAGGTATGGCAAACCCTGTTATTTGTCCCCTATCATCAACTTCAAGCATTTTTTGTCTGTCTTTCCCTGTTCCTGCCTGCCTAGGGTACCTATGTTTGTAAATTACAGTTTTCAAACCATGGAGAAAGTTAACATGTGTTTGTGCATGTGCCTGCAGGCAAAGAGCACAGTCATCCCTCCTTTAGAAAGGCCTCTCCATTCATATGCTCCGAATATTGTAGACAGATTTTAGAGATTGTTTTATTTTCCTAATCTGCTTCCTGGCCCCTTGAGGAAGTGAAGGACAGTGTGATGATTTGAAAATGGAAGTTGTTCAGAAGGTAATAGACCCTAATCAGCAAACAATTACATCAAATCTGAGAGAAGAGGAGACCCGAGGATAAACACATGGGATTCATTTGCACAAAAGACTTGGCAGATTATCAGTCAGAACACAAAAGTCTTTGGTCAAAAGAAATACTCTCGCTAAAAATGAGATCAAAGACGTAATAGTAAGTAATCTTTTCCCCAAAGTGATGTGACATTATCATATTATTTATAGCAAAGGATATCACTCTGTTATACCTGAACCATAAGGATCAATCCAAAATCAAAACAGGATGCAAAAGCTGAACATATTATCTTGTAATTAAAAAGGCTCATGTGAACAAAAACAAAAACAATTTGCTTTATTTTTCATGACAGGATTAGACTAAACTAAAAATGGGGAAACCGATATTAAAAACAACATAATGTAAAACACATTGGTGTTTTACTTTCAGCTTAGGGATTTTTCAAAATTGAAAGGTCACAGAGTGTTGATATTAAAATGTGTGTGTGTATCAAATCTAATGGACGGTTGCTTAACGTCATTAAGCCCATTGACCAACTTAAAAGAAACATTAATGCTGCTGGTCATTTCCAGTAAAGCTTTTTGGTTCCTGCCTGGTTCTTGAATTTATTATTTTTTTAATTGCTGTATTTTTTTTTTTTGACAAACTATTAAATGGACTGCCATGATATTTGTGAGACATACTCAATCCCCTGGTCAAAGCATCCATCTGGCACTATACATTTCATAATGTTACCATGGACATGCTGATATTTTGAACTATACTTTGAGTATACAGAGGCCTGTTAGCTTTTAACAACGGTTGTTTGCAGATTAAAATACAATTCCCAATCTAACTTCGTAATTTATGAGGCGATTTCGGTTAGCTCTGTGACTTAGATACATTTTGGTAGAGTTAGTAAAAACTAAAAAAGTAGAGGTAGTAAAAACTAACTCTACCTTCACATTTGACTGTAGTCTTCATGTGAAAAAATAAGTCGACCATCGAAAATAACCTTATTTAAATAATGTACCAGTTATTTGTGTAGATACAACTAGAAACGTTATTATTATTTTATTTTATTTTTTCCCATGGCATGGCTTTTAGTTTATTTATTGCAAACATGATTGGTGTTAACATGCCACCAAAAATATGTGTCATATGTTGGAAACAATTGAACTGAAGGAAATATGACTTGATGTTAATGGTAGGAAAGCTAACTGACCAAACAACAACAACACGCACAACTAGAGACAACATCAAGATGTTTAATCCAGAACATAAGGCAGACAGCATAATAGTAATGTGCAACATTTTCCACTGCATGTCTTTAAGTACTTCCTGGATCTAAAAGTTTACTGCAATCCATCTTTCCACTCTAAACACAACGATGCTAAAAAAGCACTAATGATACTATACTGCTGTAGAGAAGATCAAACAAGAGAACAAGAAAACAAGAACCATATATAAGTTGAAACAGACAAAGTTCTAGCATGACTCACAGGGAAGCTATTTAATAACACGTCTTTTCCTTAAACATAACGCATACAGCAGATCTAGGAATACGCCTTGGTGCACATACAGAACACTTTCCAGGCATAGACATAGTTCTAAGTCCTCCAAGTACACTTTAAAATACAAAAAGCATGTCTAAGGATAACTGTATAAAATCAAACAGGGTAAAAACAAATTATAAAATTGTATTTAGGAGCCACTTGACAAGGCTCTGCATTTTATCTAGTGTGAACCAGTTTGTGTGTGTGTGTGTGTGTGTGTGTGTGTGTGTGTGTGTGTGTGTGTGTGTGTGTGTGTGTGTGTGTGTGTGTGTGTGTGTATGCGGGTCTGAGCACCTCTTAAAGAGTCTTTACTTGACTAGCCTGGAGGTTGTGTGGCTACGTTTTTAGTTTTCTTTCTTCTCCTCAGGAGTAGAGGATTTGTTGAGTCCTCAATAGTTTTGATTTTCGTTTGATCATAGTCCACTCTCATCGTTTGCAAGGCATTTGTCATTTCCTCCTATGTACAGAAAACAGTTCAATTTGCCAACATGGTTCAGACAAAAGCAGCATGCACAGTATCTGCGTCATTTCTAGAATTCAAATTGTATGGGTTTCATTTTTGAGCAACAGAGACAGCTATACAAAAAGCATAAAATATTTCAAAAGCGACTATATTGTCCACAAAAAAGCCTAGTCAACACTCTACCAATGCCTCAATAGAAAACAATTCAAGTAGCATCAAAATGACTCATAAAAACATCCAAAACACTTACCTTAACCTTCTCCCAGACATCTTGTTCCTCATGCAGCACACGGCTTGTGTGAAGAGGTGTTTGAGGGATCTCCACTGACTGCTGTGATGTGTGACGATATTGATTAGATTTCACCGAATCTCACATATACATTTTGAAACTAAAACTACAAATCAGATCAAATCCAGCAGGAAAGCTTCTTACATTAATCCAGGGATGGTTTTTGAACTCAGTGATGCTCATTCTTTGGGTGGGCTCAGTTTTCAATAACCTGCCGATCAACTGTTTGGCTGAAACAGGAAATCATCATTTAAAGGAAGAACGTGTTACATTTGACACATACTTAAAGTACAAATCAAGTATATCCTCTGTGAATGTCTCTCTGAGTCATTACTGTCTACAGTGAGTGAGAGGGATGAGTGCAGCCAGCTGTTGGCTGTGTTTACATGGACAGGCCTTGTGTATAAAGCTGTTTTCGTCATGGTAGAGCAAAGAAGAATAACACAGCCTACTCAATGCTTATTTGGATGCCAAGTTCTGTCGTTAGATTACGCAAAAGTTTTACTCTAGGCTGGGGGTGGAGTCCATGGGTGGAGATACCAGGGGAGGGGAGGGAATCCCACTGTGACATCACAAGTTGAGCAAATTTGAAACAGAGCATTTTTCTCTGTGCTGAAAGACTTAGGCAGACTGCAAAGATGGGTTTTTAAATAAGCTGTAGGTATTGTTGCCTGTACACTTTTACGATGGACTGTTGGTCCTTTGTCTCTTAACTCACTCACGCCCATCATGGTGATATCCATGGTAGTTATGTTTTATGTATGTATTTATGTCATTGTGCTGTTTTTTATGGATGTATTGACTACCTCTGTTGCAAACCAAATTGCCCCTTGGGGACAATAAAGATTTTCCAAATCCAAAAATTCCAAAGAAAGGTTTATTTTGTGGATCATTAGACCCTCAGGTTAGCAAAATATATGTTCAGAAATATGTCCCCTTTAATGTTTGCATTTATCATAGTAGCCAATCTTTGAAAGTCAGTCAGGTACCTGCAATTAAGTGGGACATTTTCCCAATGTCATTGATTAAAATGTCTATGACAACATTTACACAAACAATGACATATAAGAAAAAATAAAAAAAGGAAATTTAGAGCAAAAACAGGCAGCACTTCGGAACAGAGTATCCATAGATGAAAAATAATGTGAGGTGTGTCTTCCCGGGGGAAACATGGATGATTGTGACCAGGAAGTATGACAAAAGTAAAGGGAAGAGGCATTTCCCTAAAAACATTTCAATCAGATAAACGACACCTTCTCACCTTCCTCGGACACATCAGACCACTCAGGGTTTGGGAACTCATAGTGTCCTTTACAGATCCTTCTTTTCATTCCAGGAGATATTGCGAAACCATGACGTGAGAAAAAAGGAGGGTATCCACAAAGTCTATGCGTAAGAAAAAGGATATACTTGATAACAAGACAGATGGTGTAATTACACAGGCAAGAATTACAAATTTCAAAGACTTACAGGATATACATAATGACTCCCAGAGACCACATGTCACAAGATCGGTCATACTTCTCTGCACCAAGAACTTCTGGAGCTGCCGCAGTGTCAAGAGAAACAGACAAACTGCTGTGTTATACGACTGCCAAAAACATCCAGATCATTGAAGTAGCATTTATAGCTTTCTTTTCAAACTTCAGCACAGCATGTAGCCTCATAACCTAGATCAATGCAGCCCATTTGAACACAATTTTAACAACTTAAAATTGTTAAAATCCCTCAAGGGAGAGAACTCAAAGAAAAAGAGTCAGGGAACATTTTTGGAAAAATTGTGATTGATTCTGCTTTTGAATGGCTATCACTGACATAAGGAGGTTTAATCTCCCAGGAACTTAAATTGCTCAAGGTCTCGTTCATCAAAGCAAAAGTAAATGGCTAACACCTGTGTACACTAAAAAGGCTACTAAGGTCACTTCATCAAGCTGAAGATGACTATAATTAGCCTAGATTTCCTATAACTGGTCGTATGCATCCACCAACTATCTTGCAACTAGGGTGCAACGTGTCCCTGGGCAAGTGATTTTCCTTGGCGAACCCAGAATTGCTTACGTCGGCAGCGTATGAAAGCATATAAATGGGATTAGTCACTTCTGATGGTCTCACTACACAGCAACTACTGCCATCAGTAACCACTGCCATCAGTGTGTGAATGGATAGTTGTGACATGTGGTGTAAAAGCTCTCTAAGTGGTCTGAAGAATAGAAAAGTGCTATACAAGCTCAAGTCCATTTACCATGGGTGTTTCTTATACAGATGAACAATGTAACTGTGGCCACAACAAGCGATATTATATTTTAAATGATGAAGAGAAACATAACCCTTCATACACAACAACATTATTTTATATAAGATACTGATGCATCACAATCATATACTTCCCTTCTGTGTCAGTTCATTGTCGTATGTTGGATGTCGGTCGTCTTCTGCGCTAGTGGTTTGACTTCTAGTTTTTGTTTTGAAGTAAGTTTTGTTTTATTGCCTTTTTGTTAAAATAAATCTTATTTTGAGTTTCTGCAATTGGGTCCACCTCCTCTTTGTATTTTTCATCAATCCGCTCATTACAACAAACTCTTCTGTCTGGTGAATAAAATGAATAATATAAACCACATGTTTTAAAACGTGCTAGACCGGAGATCACTGTGACTTCTCACATTTGAACATCCAACACTGATCATTCAGACTGTCTCTCAAGGCACTTCTGAAATACTGTGTTTCAGAGATTGGGAAAGCATACATTGTGACATAACTGTTCTTTCCTCCTTTTTGGAGTTACAGTGACCTTTGGCTATGAATTTTTATTCTCTCAATATTTTATCCTATCTAGATTTTTGTGCAATTTCGACACAGTTATTGTTTCAATTCTTGAGTTATGGCTCTGAAGAGATTAACCGACAATAGCAGTGTCAATTCTGTTTCTGCTGTATATTTGGACAAATAATGTAGATAATCAGATATACAGTAGATAAACAACATCACACGTTGTGGGGTCTTACCAACATAATATGGGGTAAAACATGGTGTTGCTAATGAGTTTATCGTGGTGATTTCCTTGGCGAACCCAAAATCAGTCAGCTTAAGCAGAGCATCTGGTCTTTTGGAGGTGTAAAGCAGGTTCTCTGGCTGTAAGAGAAGCAACCCGACATCAGATGTTCAAATCTCAGGTAATTTACCAAAGAAAAACTAAGAATTAAAAATTAGAATCACAGATAAATCAAATGCAAGCCATCTGCTGTCACTACTGTTCAGGTTTAGCAGAAAAATCTCAGGTAACACTGGCAGATTTTCAGATTTGGTGGGGGGGGGGTTGGAAAGGGGTTAGCAACCTGTGATAAGATTAAAGTAACATGCACAATGCATTGCTATGTCCATTCAGAAAAGACATGGCAATGGTATCAAAAGTCAAGAAGCTGCATGTACACTATCATCATTTTACTTCTTTCATTTTGCAACATAATCTGCAAATGGACCTCTGTTGCATGTTATTCCCTAATCATTCTACTCTAAAGAATATAACATCTTTAATATCTCATCTGGTGACTTTACTCAACCAGGATTATGCATGATAGAGTTCAGTGTATGAACTGTCATCATTGGACACTCAAGTACACATATTAACCCATAATAGTGTGTGTGAATTGGAAGAATTAGAGGTAAATTGTGTGAATTGGAAAGATAAGATGTAAATTGTCCTATAACTGAACAATAACACATTGCACAATCTTGTTTCCTTTGTGAAAGTGCACTCTAAGCATTTCAGACCAGGGAAAATAACTACAAGTGTGTCAGAGTAACCAATTCAAGATAGAAAATACAAAAATGTTTCAGGGAAAACGTTCACAGTTGTTTAATGGAACTAAGTGATTGTTCCATCGAGGTGTTTCTGGTCACAATACTTCAGTTGCCAGACATTGTTTTCGGTACATATGAAAACAATTAGATTTTCATATGAACAGAAAAAATTTCACCCTCAAGCTCCTGAACACCAATTATGAGCTTTGTAGCATGCACAGGACAATAATTACATGAAAAAAAGCATTGGTGTCAATGTCAAATTTGAACGACTGCGTATAATTCTGAGGACAGATCTTGTCACTTTGCATAAAAAACAGTCCACTGCTGCAAGAGTTGACTCACATGCTGACTGATAAATTACCTTGATGTCTCTGTGAGCAATGTTGATGGAATGCAAGAAGAGAATGGCTTCTCCTATACTTTTCATAATGTCAGAGGCCTCTGATGGGAAAACATGATGGTATTAAAACAGAAAGGTGCAGATTAAAGTAAGTATTCAGCGGCACATTTTTAAATTTGATAAAGATCCTCTAGACCAGTGATCGTCAACAGGAAGAACTGCGGGCCACATGCAGCCCCCTAACACTTCTCATCTGGCCCCCAGAATATAAATAATATTGGGTGGTTAAACAATAAACATACAAACAAAATCGCAAGGCTGAAAAACTTGCCCTAGGTTAATGGGAGAAATTACATTTCCTCTCTGACAACAGTCATCAGTGTCTTTCAAGAAAAAAAGCTGGCCCTTGAACAAATATAGTTGATGACCCCTGCTCTAGACTTGAATGCAATGATGCCTCTTTTGATTGTGTTTTAGTTTCTGTTGTTAGTTCACTGTAATCTCTGCAGGATAAGATTGTCTTCACATACAGAAAGGACTCAAAGGAAACAACCCTGAACCCCGTGTCATTATTATTATGGTTACAATTTATGATAATTGCTGTAACCAACAATCTCTTTCATTTCCTTGATTAATGAATTCGTCGTTTTTAAATTACAAATAAGAAAATGTAAATCATTATTTCCTGAGCAACAGGTTTTCAGATTGTTTGTTTTGTCCAAAACCTTAAAAATATTCAGTTTAGTACATAAAATGGCAAAGAACAAACAAAAATCATCACATTTAAGAAACTTTCACCATTTCCTGTGCCTCTTTATGTGCCTCTGACTGAAACATTGAACTATTAGAGTTTTAGTAAGTTCTCCTCACTGCAAACAGCTCCACAGTTTACTGCTCACTTTCCTTCAGCCATATGAAAAATTGTATGAGGTTACAGCTCATGAATGAAAGCCAATACAACATTCTTCAGGGCATGATGAACAAAGACCAAGTGTTGTCTGACTTTATTAAATCAACATATGTGTATTTGGCTGCACTCTGACAAAATAAACTCTGCAGCCCCCAGAATCCTGCGGGATGTAGTGAAACTGAACAACATTTACTGTAACCACCAGTAAGTGTACATGAGCCAAAACAACTAGGACTGAAATCCATTAGAGTTATAACTCAGCTTCAGTTGTGAAGAAATACAAATTTACCTCTTTCTGTGAATGCATGATTCCCTTTGTCTTGGATATGTCTGAATAATTCACCTCCATCCATGCTAGAAAGAAGAAAAACAGCAGAATGGGCCAAAGTACACATTATCATGCCAAATATAAAAATATACGTTAAATATATGTTTGTATATGTTTTGCCACCTGTTGATGCAAAATGTTAATAAAAAAATGAATACAACAAACTGCTGCTTGGCTCTGTAAGTAAAACACATTCATGGTTAATATTATTTAATTATGACATCACCTCAGTTTTTTGATGAACAGATGTTGCTAAGTAGACATGGCATGATTTTTTTCATCCTCTAGACCAGGGGTCTCCAATCTTTTTTCATCTGAGAGCTACTTTCATCAAATTGCTTGCATTTATGTACATAGCTCAGCTGAATTAAGATACTGTTTGTACATGTGTGAAATTGCAATAAGCCAATGCTTATCAATAATCTTAAATTCACATCAATGTCCAAGAAAACTTTAGTACTTCATACTTGTTTTTATGGGCCAAATATATGAATAGTGGGAAGAGGTGCATTTACCGTCGTCAGATTTTTATTTTTATTTTTAACACAGTCGGTCAACCTATAGGCGAGCTACTGAAAACCTGCCCGGGCTACCAGTAGCTCCCGAGCTACCTGTTGGAGACCCCTGCTCTAGACCCTCTGTGTTGCATTATGGACTTCTTCCTGGGTAGAATTATATCGCATCAGTTTTTTAATATTTAACCCTTCTGTCTTGCTGCAGTTATTCCTTTTATTTTGAGTCTGATCCACAAGGTTTGCAACTCTCGTGAGATTTTTCCATTTCTTTTATAATGTCTTTTGTATTGGTATTTTGTACCCTAGTAAAAAGATTGTTTTCCCAACTAGCTCTTCTCTATTATGCCAATGTTCAAACTAAATTACTTAGTTGCTGACTCACGCTACAAGCCTTATAATAATGCATACTCTTTTTTTCTTACGTGATTACTATCATTTCTTTTGAGTTGTATATTCTTGTATATATATGGGCAGTTAAAATCCCTAACTCAACATGATTTTGGCCACCAGAGCCTATTGATATTGTTATGCTAGTTCCTGGGAACACAACTCCGCCCCCAAACATGAATGATATGTTTTAGCACCGGTGGACAATTACAATGGGTTTCCTGGATCTTTTTTTTCAAGACTAATGCTAGCCATCTGCAAAGCTTACCTGTTCAAAGAGAGAACAGTGTGTTCCTGCCTAATTATGCTTTATTATGTTATGAGACAAAAAAGACTTGTTTTTATCACTTTTGGCCCTGAAGTGTTCTTGTCAGTTGGTGTGCATTAAAACAAAGGAGGCTCCACCAACCCACAAAGCAACTAATAAGAGACACAACTCTCAGGGGAAATTTGAAGATGAACAATGTCCAACGAAGAAACTTTTTTTTCAACACGTGCTATCAATTTAAGAGACCACACATCCATCATTAGCTCCGATTGTGTCTGTGCACATGCGGGAAAAACCCACCACTCCATAATGATAAGGAGACACTTCTTGCCATGGTAGAGGTTCTCATAAACATCTATAATGGGTACAATGTGGGGGCAAGGTGACACCCTCCAGTGGAGCTCAACCTCTCGTCTGGCTTCTGGACAATCCTGCAGCATCTGACAAACAAACAGCAGAGGAATGAGCAGGTCAGAAAGCAGGGAGACATTTTAAATACAAATGTCCTCATGTAAATCTACTCTGGGTTAAATGGGTGCACTTTTCTTTCAATTCAGTTGAACTGATTTCCAATATCAACATACATAAAGGTATGAGATAGCCTACTTAATATTGTGGCTGTATTGAAGATTGTGTGATGTTTTTTTAAGCCATCATGAGCCTCAGGGGTTTTAACAGTAAAGGCACATTTTTACATGTGTCGATGAAATTATAGTTGATTCAAAGAAAAATTATTATTATTGTAATCTCTACATTTTTAATGTCTATTTTTAATAGAGAAAATACTCATGACTGTACATTATTCGTTTTGAAATATTGAAACAGCTCCAATCACCTTTCATATGCGCAGACAGGGATAATTCAATGGACGTGGACAGTTATGTCATTTTGGTTGTAAAACAAGCTGAGTACTGTTCATGACGCCAGTAGTTTAATGATCTTATATCACAAGAACAAATGGCTATGTGCAGGATTCCAGTTGTAATTGCATAAATTTTGCAGCAGACTTTTTGTGGGGAATGTGATTTACAGAGGTACGTTTGCAGCAACTCTTTCCTTGACTAGATAAGTCTTTCTCACATACTATGTATCTTAATGAAATGTTTGTTCTTTCCTAACATGCGCTTTTTTCAAAGACCTCAGGAATGTCAGCGGATGAGCCATTTGGACTTAAAAATTAGGTTAAATCTTTAAAGATCGATTACGTAGAGAAGGATGAAAGGTTTGCTGATATTCAAAGAGTTCGTATAAGAAGGTATTTAAAAGTGTCTGTTTTCATGTACTGCCGCTCCATGCACCGGCTCGCTTTTTTTAAATTAATTTTTTTAAGATTTATTTTTGGGCTTTTTGTGCCTTTATTGGAGAGATAGGACAGTGGATGGGGCTGGGGGTCGGGGAGAGAGAGTGGGGAGTGACATGTGGGGGGGGGGGAGCCACGGGCCGGATTCAAGCCTGGGCCGTCCGCTTTGAGGACTGTGGCCTCCATATATGGGGCGCACGCACTAACCACTGCGCCACCAGCGCCCCACTGGCTTGCTTCTGACTCTCTCTGTAAGGCTCTGAAGTGCCCACGTTCAGAGTCCCAAAGTCTGGTCTGATTGGTCGGCCTGTCTGCTCTGCCGTAATTGGTCAGTCGCTCAGCACGGTTCTCGGAAATGTCACGCCCCTTTTACCATATTGGGAATGCAGCCACTTTGGCTCCGAGGAGAGCAAAAACATTAGCACCTTAGCACTACTGTGCTACCACAGGCTACGGCATATCGTGTCCGTGCTACAGAAGTTAATGGGCGTGCAACATGAGCTGCTGGGCTTTCCACAACAAGCCAATGGACTTAGATCAGTGATATCACACTGACAAGACGTCACACTGGCAAAGTTTTATCGAGGTGGGACAGGACAAATAGAAAACACACTAAAGAGCATATAAAACCAGAAAAAGCGTGATATGGGCCCTTTAAGTCAAACTCTGTCAAAGGCTTCCAATATTGCAAATAGTTTTCCAAAAAAATGCTATTTCATGCCACTGATGAAGTGTTTTCTCTGTAATTAAAAGATTATTCACTGACATGATGATGATAAAATGGGTGTTTGCCATCAAAAGAATTTTAAGCCTGCACAGATGGGGATTAGCTCAAATAAAAGCCAGGACAAATGTTATTGTATGTTTGTTACTCCACTATTTTTCAATCTCAAAACCTTCACTTTCACTGTAATAAAAGCAGCGTATAAACTTTCTGCATGACACCCTGTCCATGCTGTGCCCAGCTAGATGTCATAATCTCTCTGACATCTCAGGCATCTGCATGAGGCTACTTTTAGACACTGGCATGTCCCCCCTCTCCATGTCTAGCTGGCATCATGTCAACATAAAAAGTCAACACTCCTCTTTCAAAACAGTCAGCACAACATGGTACACCGGAGGCCAAGGCTACTGGGCAATATGTAATTTACAGACTGAAACAGAAATAAGACCCTGACAGAGGCGCCTGTTGTGTACGATCACAAAAAAAAACAGAAAATTACAGGATTCCAAGAGAGAAAATCTGTAACTCACAGCTCATGCTCAGTGACCTCACCTCTCGAACTTTGGCAGCACTCAACTTTAACTCTAAATACTGCTTTTAACTCCAAATGCAGGTAGTGTTTAGTTGGATGTGCATCACACGCACTTTTGGAGTGACAAATTGATCCCAGAGGAATGCAGTGGGGTAATATAATTATTTATCTCTCCCCACTGGCTGGAACACAGACTTAAAAGGGGGAAACTTTGAGAAGCAGATTTTCTACAAAACCAAAGATAAGCGAGGAGCATCTGTTAACTTTCAACTCAGTGCACATCCTGAAACATCTTGGGCTCAGCCTTTTCTATACTCCTCTTTTTTTTCTTACTCATCCTGATGATGTGACAAAAGACAGACAACTTTGATCCATGAAGACTGTTTTTCATCAACACCTAAGCTTTGATCCTGTTTCCTCCATAAAAAATAAGGAAAAATCTCTCCTGAATCAAGGAAATGTATATAACAAGTAATTTGGAACAAGAAAGGCCCCAGCAGGAACTATTTGCAAACAAAATCCACGTAAAGCTGCAACTGCTGCATTTAAGTAGATTTAGAAATTGTAATAAGAACAAGAAGGCGATAATGGAGAAGAACAAGAACAAGAAGGAGAGGAGCACGAGAAAGGAGGAAAGGCAGAACAAGAACAAAGGAAACCAAAGAAATATGAAAAGAAGAAAAAAGTAGAGGAAGAAAAAAACAGAAAAGAAGAACAAAGAAGAACATAAAGCGGAATGGAAAGGGTGAAGAACAAAAAGGATATAAAACATGTGCAGAATATGACTAAAATGACATTTGACAGAACAGTATAGGCTTATAATTTATGGTTATAACGGTTTGCTAAATGTCAAACTCAAATCAGATTTTGACAGAGGGATCTGCAATCTGTGACAATCTTTTAGCTCATATACACAACTTTCTCCATATCCAAACCCATATAGCTTAATATGTTTCACTATGACTCAAATGATGGTTATGACAATGCTTCAGTAAAAAACTGTAGAAAATCTGTAATGCTATATTTACCAACACAGGCCTACATTTTTTTAATGATGCAGGTTGCAAACTTTTAAACATTCTAACACTATAGGCAAAAGCACATTTGCCTTAGAAAGCCCCCTTAAATAAAAAGTAGGCTATACAGATTTACATTTAGCTTATTAAAATAAATAAGCATCCAGTGTAAAGTAGCCTACAGCTATCCATTTTAGTACATTTACAACAAGTAGGCTAATTTATTACATATTTTTGGTGAAAAAAAAAAGTTAGTTTCAGAAAACATGTTTACCTTTAGTGCATACTTCTCCCCACTCTCTTTGTGGAATATTTCCATCACTCTGCCATTTATCCCCATCCCCAGCACCTGACTCGTTAACGTATAAACATCTGTAATAACACTGCTTTTGATTTGAAGAGGAACGGCAAACTGTCTCACAAAACACTGAGGGAAAGGAGCAGAGTTGAGATCAGGCTGCTGTTGGATCGGGAAAGTCGGCTGGTGCTGATTTGACATGATAACTATCGGCGACACATGACTGTTTACCGTTCAAACAGGTGCGTCCAGTCCTTGAGGAGTAGCCTAACCTCAGCTAGTTCAGTAACGCTCAGTCCTGGTTTACTGCTCGCCCACCTCTTGCTGGGACAAGTCCTGGGACAGTCCTTCACACGAAGCAGGCGGGTGACTGTCCAGGAAGTACACTTTAAACTTCGGTTGACACTTCATCAACTTGGACTAAGAGTCGCACAGTGTTGGCTCGCTTGATAAATGAATTCATTTAAAATTAAAATTCAAACTTGTGGGCGAAATTGGCCGACGTTACCGCAGCATCAAATTGTGACAGTCACCCAGCAGGGACTGTGTCTGCGGACAGGATCAGCTGGGTGGCTGCCCAAATGTCACTCCAAAATTATGAAAGGCTATTTGTGATGTGACTATTTAAATCTCCCTATGCCGGCTGAAATTTGGAAACATGTTTCCTGAAGAAATGCAAAGGGGAATACTGTAAGTGTAGGCCTATGAGAAGTGGAAGATAAGTGAGAAGCATCTGTTTTTAACTCAGACCTCAGCATGAAACATTGTGGACTCAGCCTTTATTCACTGATAGTGAGAATGTGACAAAAGACAGCCATAATGCGGTTTTATTACTCTACATAAATAAGTGGGTGGGGGGTGGGGGGGGGGGGTTCTTTTTATTTCAACTGTCTTTTATTGATTTTTGCATTAATTGTAGACATCTCACATTACACACGTTCATGTAGCAATATTAGCACACAAGCATCCAGCATAAGGTGTAAAAGAAAGTAACGCAATGTGCATGAAGGGGAACATATCACCTTTGACAACAACAGTACAAACACCCCTTGTACAAAATAAAAAAAAAAAAAAAAAAAAAAAAAAAAAAAAAAAGTTATGATAATAATAATAATAAACCAAAAAAAATATATATATATATATATATATATATATATATATATATATACATACACATAATTCAAGAAACCAATGAGCAAAAATTATGATAATACGGAATAAATTAATAAATGTAAAAATATATAAAAACAAAACATACAATATAAATAATAAGAAAAGAAAAAAGAAAAGGGACAAATCAATATTAGGATTAGTCAAAGTTATCAACCGCTGTAAGAAACCCAAAGAAGGAGAAGGGGGGGGGTCCTTTTTAACAAGTATGTTAAATGCCCCCATTAAAAACAGAAATGGCCTAGTAACAGTCTAAAAAACTTAGATAAACTAGCTTTAGTATAATGATGTCAGCTCTTGTGTTTGCTTAGCAACCAGCATGACGGACTTGTGTTCAGCAAAGATGACAAATATATCAACAAGTGCAGTGGCCCAGTGGCTCTTGACACATTTAACAAGAACTCAGCAAAAAGGTAGTTTTTTTTCTGTCAAAAAGTGTTGGTGGGCACTACGGGGATGTTAACCGACAGGTTTGTATTCACCGTGCAATGGGTGACGACATTTTAATCTTGACGATGAAGGAGGCTGAAGGACGACCTCTCATCATGCACTTAGTTTTCGTCCCGCGGAACTAACGTGTTGCTGCGGTACAGTTTCAAATCGGACATAAACATGTGTCGGACCAGTAGACCCAGCAAATAAACAGTACATTTCTGTACAGCTAAAATAACACACATTTAGACTGTTCTCTGGTGAAGAGGCGTTTAAGAATTGTTTGCGCTGATGTTATGAAAATAGTTGCATTATCTCTGCGGCGGACGAGCTGATTTTGTACTCTGAGAGGATGTTTGCGAGACCGTTTCGTGTCAAATCCAACACCGCAATCAAAGGATCAGACAGGTGAGCCACTGCCTCTGACTGCTTCTATTTCAAATCACTTTAATGCTTTGTCGTCACTTTTAATAGCTGCAGTGTCGTTCAGTCTGAGTAAATCAAGAGTTGAATTGAAACCTCTCAACAACAACAACAGAAAAACTCAATTTTGAAGGTATCAGAAATGATCCAGAATAACAGACTGCAACTTGCACATTGCTGTGACAGGTCAATATGTCAGTGATGCTTGTTTTAAGCCTCGTGTTTGTGTATACAATTATGGAGTATCAGTGTCCTGCAGCATATCAGCAATCTTCATAAACTAGTCTGACAATTTTTTTAATCCCAGTGCCCGAATTTATGTGATTATATCAAAGCTATTGATGATATTCATATTAAGATAAAATATCTTTGTGATGTTGTCTTGGATTTTCTGTAATCAGACTTCTCCTAGAAAGATCTCTTCAATATCATTTTGTTGTTTTGCATTTTTATACATTATGTGCGTTTAAGTCTGGATTCAACATGTCTGGTGTTAAAGCTTCTCGTAATCATACTGCTCAGCCGTATTTGATACAGATCATTCTGACAGGCTGTGTACACTCCTACAAAGTTCAATGCACCAGACAGTACAAGATAGTAACCAGCCATTTACCAGTTATACAAAAATACGCATATAACATTGATATTTTGAAGACAAATTATACTTCTTTGACAAGCAGGCCTTGTATTAGACAACTGATTTTCCTTCTTTCCATACATGTGTTTTAAATAGTTCCAACCTGTTGCATTTACTGAGAAAATCTGAAGAAGGAGGTTAACGACTTCTTGTTTTCTCACACACAGGAGAAAGCTCAAAGCTGACATATCAGCTGCTTTCCCTGCATTGCCTGCTGATGAGCTGTCTGAGCTGATCCCCAACAAAGAGGAATTAAATGTAGTCAAGATTTATGCACACAAGGGAGAGTCTGTGACTCTTTATGTTCTTCATAAAAACCCGCTCTTCTTTGAACTGGAAAAACGGCTTTATCCAACAGGTAATTTATCTGAACATCAATGTACATCAAGATGACTGAGTAAAAAAAGTACCTTTCTGCAACAAATTTTCACTTTATAATAAATATATATGATATTATTTTCAGTGTATGTGCTTTGGCGATACCCTGCTCTCCTGCCAGCATTCAGAACATGGCCCCCAGTGCTTCAGAAGTTGATTGGAGGGGCAGGTATGTTTATTTTTTAAAGATTAAGACCTGAACAGTTGCTTTAAACTGTACATTAAGACAGATACAATTAACAAGAACTTTGATTCCCTCAAGATCTCATGCTGCCAGGTGTGGTGGTGTCGTCAAGTGGTCTCCCAGATGTAAAGCAGGGTGACTGCTGTGCTGTAACAGTCGTGAGCAATAGGTAGGCTATGATAAGCAACATGTGAAGACTTCTGTCATAGCCTTTTAAAGGCATAATAGAAGTCCTCAACAGTGACACTGTTCCTTTGGTTGATGCAGAGCTCCCGTTGCAGTTGGCACTGCTGCCTTGTCGAGTTCAGAGATGCAGAGCGTTGGTATGAAAGGCAGAGGAGTGTGTGTTCTCCACACATACATGGATAGTCTCTGGTAAGTAGCTCCCATTTTTCTTAATTGAAATCCTGCATCTTTTTGAAAGAATGCTTTTGTTTCAAGGGGTAGTTTTATATTTCTTAAGGTGGGTTAAATGTGAAGATACTAGAGATACACCGATTGCAATTTCTGTTTTTAACATGTTCTGAAATGTAAAAAGAATTCTTACCAGAAACTCTGAGGCAAACTAGTTTACTAACTAATTTATTATTTTTGTGGTATATATAAAAGTCTCAATGTAAAAAAAAACAAAAAAAACATTATGGTGACAGAGTAATATTATTTTTCCTGTTAGTGACTTCCTTGAGTCTCAGCTGGTTGCCTAGCAACCTCTCAGTGACTAGACATCAGGAAGTCAATGGGCATGACATACAAAAATAATATAATTTCCAACTCAGTCCACTGTGTCCCTGTGTGGAGATCAATAAAGTGACCAAAATCATCGGCCCATTAATGTGTGTTTTGTTTCAAGGCAACATATATTGAGATTTCACATTTAAGACATCCTCAGTGGACCTAAGTGCTGCACAGGTGTTTAACGCACAATATAAAAGGACAAACATGAATACAATAAATAAATAACTCAATAAGAAACACAATAAATAAATGAATAAATAGGAGCGTATTCAAAATGTCAAAATGTCAACCTCAACTTGTATTAAAAGCCAGTGTCAACAGGTGTGTCTTAAGAAGTGATTTAACATTTTCAATGGATTGAGCAGCACTGATGTTCCACAGTTGTGGAGCAGTCAACGCAAAGACTCTGTCACCTTTGGCCTGCATCTCGGAACATCCAAGACCAAGAGCATCTGGTGTGTTGACCAGAGTGCTCTGACTGCAGCATGTTTGTGCAACAGCTCAGATAATTAAGAAGGTGCCAAACCATTTACGTTTTCAAAAATGCAAGTCATAAAAACCTTAAAACCGGATCCCGAAGCGGACAGGAAGCCAGTTGAGAGAAGCCAGTTCAGGCGAGATGTGGTCACGTCGTCTCTTTCCTGATTCGGACACGTGCTGCTGCGTTCTGAACCAGCTGCAAGCGCTGATGGAATCCACACCAACAAACAAAGAGGTTAAAATAGACTAAACAAGATTTAATAAACATGTGAATGACTCTCTCAAATTCATTTGAAGGAGGATAGGGCTCTACCTTACCCAGCTGTCACAACTGCAAAAAGCTGGTCTTGACCAACAAGCTAATCTTGAAAGAGCTGTCCAAACTCAAACTGAGATTTTCGATGGAAGGGTGACTTTAGGAGACACAGCGCAGACTAACTAAAGCTTTCTCTATGATTCACTTTTTCTAGGGCATTTGGGGACAAGTCAGGTCCTCCTTCTTTATTGCACACAGAGAGCAAAGGACAAGGGTTGAATGGAGAGGAATGTGAGGTCGACAGTGAACTGGAGGGAGAGGAGGAGAAGTGTATGGAGGAGGAGGAGGAGGAGGAGCAGCACCAGCAGCAGAGTTCCGATGAAACAGTCACTGATCAAGCCTGTTCTGGTGTTGGGGAACTGAGTCTGGCTAAGGAGGAGGGAGAGAAAGGTGAAAAGGACAACGAAGAAGAGGAGGGGACTGAGGATGATCAGAAAATGCCACAAGGTATTAGGTGTAGTCATAACCCCCACAGTATGAGTCAAAATTAACTATTTGAAGTCTTGGATTTGCAGCAAAGTACTTTTCCACAGTTCTTTTTCAACAGTTTAAGACAGGCTCAGCTTTTATTAAGGCTAAGTGTCAATGAATGCTGTCTCAGGTTCTAATCAAATTGAAACATTCACTGCTAAATGATTGCAGGGCTGGATTGAGTGCCTGTAGATTTATTTTTGTGGCCATATGGTTGTGTTTTGTTTATTTTCTGATGTGGCAAAATGGAAGCGTGTCCAGAAAGGAAGGGATGTGACCCGGGTCAAACCTTGATTTCACAGAGATAATGGACGCCCTGCTATTGCAGTGTTTCCTCCATGCTCTCAAGAGCAAGGTGAAGAAGTCAGAGCTCCCTCTGCTGACCAGTACATTTCTTCGCAACCATATGTTCTCCTGCTGGTAAAGTTCAATTCATCCTTTAAGAAATGCAGAGGGGTACTCACGTTTTGTACTCAAAGCATCTGGTCTTTTTTCAGCCCAAGTGGGAAGCAGCTTGATATCAAGAAATCAAGCTATAAGAAGGTAAACTGCATGTCGAGAATGTGGCATTTAACACATACACATGGACAGATGTATAACTCCACTAGTGAGCATTAACAAATGTTTCTGTCCAACAGCTTTCCAAGTTTTTACAGGCCATGCAGCAGAAGCATAACCTTGTGCGGGTAAAAGAACTGACCAAGGGTGTGGAGAGCATTGTGGAAGTGGACTGGAAAAATCGAGAGTGAGCCAAGTCCTGCCTCAACTTAAAGAAATTCTTGGTTGGGATTCAAAACCTTCACAGCCCGCCCACATGTCAGCCCTTTATTTTTATTTTTTATTGCATTAACTCTTTGCAGACTGCGCTCCTTCAGCGTTCCTGAGGAGACAGATGTGGAAGCAGCTCCCGCGCAGGATGGAGGAGAGGGTGAAACACTGTACCATCCTCCTGAGATCACGACTCTTTACTCTGTGTCCGCTCGACTGGAGCCTCTCTTTCTGGATGCAAAGAAGAGGTGTGTGTGTGTGTGTGTGTGTGGACAGATTTGTTCCTTTTCTTTATACATTTACATTTACCTGCATTTTCCAGTTGTTTATTTCAGGCTACATATAACCTTCAATTGCCTTGGGCTCATACTGGATAATAAACCCAGTTTCACACCCAGAACATATTGAAATGCTGCCAGCATAGCACTGGAAGCATTCACCACCCCCACCTTCTGCTTAACCAGGACATAATTCAAACCAGAGCAGTCTTCTGCCCCCCCTCACCTCCCCATGTGTACTCATGCTAGCTGTCTTCAGAAGGAACAATCTGTCCCCTGTAAGACATGAGGCTTCATACATAATTAGTATTTAAACTCCCAAACACTCAGATCTCAAAAGACCGCCACCGACTGCCCAATTTCACTCAAATTCCATCTGGCTGCAGATAGAAGTCTCTGAGAAAGACTGCTTCCCACCCGTTTCGTTCCCCACAACCATAGTGGTTCTAAACTCTAAAGCATGACAATCACATTTACTGTTCTGTTCAATTTAATTTTGTTGCATGTTCTTGGAGGAGAAACATAATGAACATGCACAAACTCTTAACTTATAAGTCACAGATGTAATGTTTTTTTGATTTTACATTAAAGTGGGAGATTTTTCTTGTCCAGGAGTTACAATAAAACATAAGTGTGTATTCATAAGATCAGGTATTTTCTAAAAATGGTTTGAGTTCTTAGATGTTATTTTGAGAATTTGTAAAAATAATATTAACTTTTTATTGTGAACAAAATGGTTATTAAGACACTTATTATTTGACGCTAAATCTACTTATAGAGACAGGCATTGCAAATGAGCTTAGCCCATAAATATACAATGCTAGGAGGAAGTAGTTGAGGCAGTATTGTTGTTCCTATAAATATTACGCTTCTTAATGAATTAAGCTTCTGGTTTTTTTTTAGTGTGCAATTCATGATTCAAGATTACAAAAGTAATAGGAACCCCCATTAAGAAGTAAGGGTGTCACTGTATTGATACATTTCTCACAATCATTCCTGTACTAATGTGTGCTTTGGTGCTTCCACAGAAAAGGGACAATCCTACAGCCTGCTGAAGTGAGGAACATTGTCACGGAGTATGTGAAGCAGAATGAATTGGTGGATGAAAATAATAAGAAGTAAGAAGATCCTAAACTTCTGTAACAAGAAATGAATTTGCTCCTGGAGATCGTTATTTTTGAAACCTCAGATGCTTAAATATATAGCCATTGTTTTTGGCTCTTGGGAATGGGTTTCTATATCACAGAACTATATAAAACTCTAGTTAGCTGACATAAGATGAGATAGTAATCGCACAACACTGAGGGCACAGAGTTCTTTCAGACTTTGAAGATGAGCAGCATTTTGTTGATAATGGGTGCACTTGTAAAAGTGCAGCATTAAAGCCCACTGAACAAATACAGGGCTGACCCCAGACCATGTGATGTGATATAATTGGCTAAAATGCTTAAATGTGACTCTCATGTTTCTTTTTAGCTCCTGAAAATCGTGCATGTTCTGATGTGAAACTAACTGATATTGACTGATTAGACTGAAATTAGATCAAATCTGCCCTGAAACTTAAAGGCAAATTTTATTGAATTTGTCATGTTCCGCTGCAGTATGTTTCCTGTTGCAGGGCAGCTCTGCAGTGTTTAAATGCTCCTTTTTAATGCACCAATCCTTTTCTCTTCTTTAATAGTTACGTAACCATAAACCCAACTCTGTGCGACTGCCTGTTGGAGAAATCTGAGTACCAGGAGATAGATTCTCTCAAGTGGGATGACCTCTTTAGCAGGTAAATGTTTTTCGCCTGTCTCGATGTGTGATTCAAGGTACCACACTGAAAATAAAACTGCTGCTATTGAAAACAAAGAAATTGTATTAAAAGAAGGCATGTCATGTTGCTTTTAGTCCCTTTGTCTCAAGTCATATCTATTTGTGTTTGAGCAGATTGACCAAATGGAAAAAGCTTGGAGAATTCAGATTCTCCACAGGATTTGAGGTTCTCTGTAATGACTGCCCCTTCCTGCTTTTAGGTCATAGTGTTGACCTATTTATTTTTTTTAAGACTAGTTCGATCAATATTTGTCTCTGTTCTTGTTTTAAGAATATCAACATGTATCTTGTTTATTTCTGATCGATATGCCAACACTGTGAAAGGCTGACAATGTTCAAGATGTTTTAGTTGTGCTATGCTTCAAAGGTCTCATAATCAAATTTAAGTAGAGGTCAGTTCTGTTGCTGAAAGTCTGGAGCTTCACTGTTGGCACTGCCGTACTGACTGCAGAGAAAATGGGTAAATACCATTATTATGGTCCTGTGATTTACTGGCGAACAGTCCAGGGTGTATCCCCCCTCTCGCCCAATGACAGCTTGGCTCGGCTCCAGCTCCCTGTGACACGGAACAGGGAAAAGCGGTATACAGTTGCAAGAAAAAGTATGCAAACCATTTGGAATTTCTTAGTTTTCTGATTAAATTGGTCATAAAATGTGTTCTGATCTTCATCTAAGTCTCAACAATAGACAAACACAGTCTGCTTAAACTAATACCACACAAACAATTATATGTTTTCATGTTTTTGTTGAACACAACATGTAAACATTCACAGTGCAGGGTGGAAAAAGTATGTGAACCCCCTACACTAATGACTTCGTCAAGAGCTAATTGAAGTCAGGAGTCAGCCAACTTGGAGTCCAATCAATGAGATGAGATTGGTGGTGTTGGTTAAAGCTGCCCTGCCCTATAAAAAACACACTCCAGGTTTGAGTTCGCTATTCTCAAGAAGCATTGCCTGATGTGAACCATGCCTTGCACAAAAGAGCTCTCAGAAGACCTACGATTTAGAATTGTTGACTTGCATAAAGCTGGAAAGGGTTACAAAAGAATCTCTAAAAGCCTTGATGTTCATCAGGGTAAGACAAATTGTCTATAAATGGAGAAAGTTCAGCACTGTTGCTACTCTCCCTAGAAGTGGCCGTCCTGGAAAGATGACTGCAAGAGCACAGTGCAGAATGCTCAATGAGGTGAAGAAGAATCCTAGAGTGTCAGCTAAAGACTTACACAAATCTCTGGCACATGCTAACATCTCTGTTGACGAATCTACGATACGTGAAACACTAAACAAGAATGGAGTTCATGGGAGGACACCACGGAGAAAGCCACTCCTGTCTAAAAAAACATTGCTGCACGTTTGAAGTTTGCAAAAGAGCACCTGGATGTTCCACAGCACTACTGGTAAAACATCCTGTGGACAGATGAAACCAAAGTTTATTTGTTTGGAAGGAACACGCAACACTATGTGTGGAGAAAAAAAGGCACAGCACACCAACATCAAAACCTCATCCCAACTGTGAAGTATGGTGGAGGGGTCATGGTGGTTTGGGGCTGCTTTGCTGCATCAGGGACTGGACAGATTGCTATCGTTGACGGAAAAATGAATTCCCAAGTTTATCAAGACATTTTGCAAGAAAACTTAAGGCCATCTGTCCACCAATTGAAGCTCAACAGAAGATGGGTGATGCAACAGGACAACGACCCAAAGCCCAGAAGTAAATCAACAACAGAATGGCTTCAACAGAAGAAAATACACCTTCTGGAGTGGGCCAGTCAGAGTCCTGTCCTCAACCCGATAGAGATGCTGTGGCATGACCTCAAGAGAGTGATTCACACCAGACATCCCAAGAATATTGCTGAACTGAAAAAGTTTTGTAAAGAGCAATGGTCCAAAATTCCTCCTGACCGTTGTGCAGGTCTGATCTGCAACTACAGGAAACGTTTGGTTGAGGTTATTGCTGCCAAAGGAGGGTCAACCAGTTTTTAAATCCAAGGGTTCACATACTTTTTCATGCAACTGTAGCTAATGGATTGGTGTATGGACCATCGTTATGGTGTTAAACATAAAACACATGGAGAGTGTTAGAAATTTGGTGTGTCGACTTTCCCCCTCAAACATAAATTAGGTGATACTGAAGACAACTTGAGGCAATGTGAATTAAGGCTCAGTGAGACAAGATATATTCATTTTGCTTGATTGCGGTAACTACACCATTAGGTAAATGAAAATGGGGAAAAAATATAGCTTAAGTTTACATGTAGACTTTGGTGAAGGTATGCTCTTCATTAGTTACATGTATGGAGGGATAGATATTTAAGCAAATCTGGTACAACTTTATCCTTGTGTCTCTTAACTTCTTGGGCAGATTTAACAGTATATCTTCTAATTTTCACAGGACTTTGGGAAGAATGCAGGAGTGCTATGAAGTTGTATTCCCTGGAAAAGCACCCATGAGAAAGAAGGGCCACATTGAGCCCATTGACATCTCTGTGGCTTCTCGCGGCTCCAATAAGAAGGTTAAAACTTTCATCTCAAACTTTCAAATTGTAAGCTGCAGGTCAGCAGCGAATACTTCTTATTCATTATCTCTACTGATGATACTTGAGACTGTAACAAGACGAATGGTCTGCAGTTGATCAAGTCCGTAATTAGGTGCTGGTGTTCTTTGGGATGTTAACGCATCTTTGTTTAGCATGTTAGCAGGCCGAGCTTTGCTAAACTTAGTACAGCAGGTACTTAAAGGGATGTCAGTTTTGCTGATATTTATACATAGATATATCTCAGAATGTTTCCTGAAGTGGACATAAGTAACTGTGAAATTAGACAGAGACACATTTCAGTTTTAACAAGAAATAGCCCCATAACCAGAAAAAGGTTGTTGTAGTATTTTTGGCTCGGATGTTGAGGACTAATTAACCCACACTGTCCTAGAGCCATGCTGCCAGAGAAGCCGCAGATCTGATCAAGATGAATTGTTGGATAACTGTTGAGAAATTAACCTGCCAGTGCTCCCTGTTGAGTATTAGAGACACTGTTTATACACGACCTCAGCTACAAACCTTTGATATTTGAGTATCAGGTGATCTTTTTACTTATTGACTGGCATAGGTTAAGTACAGATGAACAGTAAACGCATGTCAGTTTATTAACAGTCCTGCTGATTAACTGTTCTAGCTTTAACAGTTTCCATACGCTTCCTTTAGGTTACTGTAATAAAGAACCTGGAACTTTACGGTTTGGATCCTGCAGTTGTGGCCACTGCTCTGCAACACCGAGTTCAGGCCAGCTCTGTCTTGCAGTCAATCCCTGGAGCCAAAGACAAAGTCCTGGTGCAGATCCAAGGGAACCAGATCCATCAAGTCGGCAATTTCCTGCTAGGTTTGGAACATAATACTTTAATTGCCTTACAAATTGCTTCTGTCATTTTTATCCACTTTTACAAACAAATTAACTTTATCTTATTTTTTTTATTTTTTTTTTCAATTTCAGATCATTATCAAATTCCTCGTAAGTACATCCAAGGACTAGACAAAGCTCCTAAAGGTGGCAAGAAAAAATAACATTTCTGTAATACCAACAATTTGCTGTCCAAAAAGCTGCTTTACTTTAGGTAAACACAATAAAAACAGTTTGTGTAATAAAGTTGATCTACTGTCATCTTCTGAAGGATGATGACAGAAAGCACAAGACTTCGTTGTTCTTTGTTTGTCTCCCAGTGATTATACCAATTTAAGGAGCTGAGCATTTCAAGAATTTGGTCTTGGTGGTGAAGAGAACTTACTCTTCTCTCAGTCTAGGGTGTATGCCCCCTCTCGCCCAATGACAGCTGGATCGGCTCCAGTTCCCTGTGACACTGAATGGGGAAAAGCAATATAGATAATGGATTGATGTATGGACCACCATTATGGGGTTAAACATACAAAACATGGAGAGTGTTAGAAATGTGGTATGTCAACTTTGCCCTCAAACATAAATAACTTTTCTCTCTGTGGTTTAAACCTTCAAAACAATCATCGTAAACAAGGTAAAACAATATTATGTTCAATTCAGACTTGGAAAAAAAATACCTTAAAGGTAACATTCACAGCAGTAAAGCAGAGCGGGACAGGGATTTGGTTAGGGTTTGGTCTGTGGTGTAACTAGGACAAGGCAACTTCAGGTCTTGTTAGGTCATGTTGTTAAATCCAGTTACATATTTGTAATCCAACATGACACTACAAAATTAAACCTTGTTCCAATCAAGCCTGTCTTCTGTGGGATAATACTTAAAATTCAACTTTGGGAATTCCCCACACCAAAGGAAATTTCATAATTATCCTGCAGTAATTCTTTTGAGCATGTGTACTTCTTAAATTTGATTTGTTTGTTTTTTTAAGAGATGGACTCCACTTTAACTCAAGGCTGTGTTCAATTATGCAGCCTCAGCTATGTTGAGGTCAGGTCGCTGTGACGACCAGCCTGGTGTCTCGTCTGCAAATTCAGAGTTTTTATCAAGTTTTTTATGTTTTTTTTGAATAGCAGTAAAAGATGGAATTTACTCCAATCTTTGCTTTCTCTAAACTGTATCCACTTCTCAGCCACTAATTGCTCATTTGAGAGAAGTACATGCAGGATGCATGAAGATGAGGGGGCTTTTGAACGTAACAGGACAGAGTAATGCAACAGTTTTTCATTTATTTATAGTAATTGTTCTCCCAAAATAAACTGGATGTAACAGTAAATACAGATAAGATGGTAGAGCACGGTTTTTAATCAATTTAAGTAGTTAACTTATCTGCTTTGGAAAGCATCCAACACTTGTATATTCCATACAATAGACAGAGATGCAACTGACTTATAGAGCTGCAGCTAATTTTCACAGAAGGCTTTAGACTGGCATGAGAATAAATACCAACTCTTTTCCAAACCTGGCATTTTTATAAAATTTGAATTGCTCCATTATACTGTCTACCACTTTGTCAGCTTGCAGGTATTTCTACACTGTTTTTCTCCTCATAAGCACTTCATCCCCCAATTACACCTCTGCGACATTCAGATTGAATGCAAAATATCCCAAGGCCATAAATATCGCACCTTGAAAGGGCAGACTGAATAGGGCTATAGCTGCAGGGTAAAGTATCGCACAGTCTTGTTTTGTAGCTATTGTAGGTTTTGTTAACAACCTAATATTTTGTATTTTTGCACTTTCTCTGCACGATATTTATTACTTATTATTGGCCCAAATAGTTGAAGTGGGAATTTCTGGGCTAATTGGTTTTATTGTATAAGGTACAATTATAAGTTAAATATTGGATATTTTGAACTATGAATGGGAAAATTAAAAAAAATCTCATCTTAGTATTGATGTACAAAATATACAGTATGCTGTCAATATATGATCTGAAATTAAGTGCCAAAAGCAAATAACTATTGCTGTACATATATTCATTTTCAAAACTCAAAGTGACATTGGCGGTGTGGAGACTGTAGCCCTCCAGGTGGGAGGCCTGGGTTCGGGGCCGACTGATGGCTCCTCTCCTGCGTGTCGTTCCCTGCTCTCTCTCTCTCCCTGGTTCCTGGTTCTCTGTCCACTGTCCTATTTCTGGACAAATATTTTAAAGACAATCAAATTGTGTTTCATGGAGTCTTTAATGAAAGGCAGCTGAGAGAAACAAAGTAATTAGCTGGTTAAGACTCTAATGAGATCATTTCCACTATTCCCAGAAACCAATAAGGTGCATCTGTGAACAATTTCTGAGTGACAGTGTTTATTAAAGACACCAGACAATTTTTTTATATGGGGCTTTGTTTTGAAGCAGATGGACTTGTCTGAATATTGAGAGGAAACTTGGACTGGTTGCATTATACAGGTACAGTACATGTTAGAAGCCATGTTGCAAGACTCAGCATCCTATCAGCGTCTGCTGCCATAATTATCCCCAGGTTAAATCCTTACCGTTAGAAGTACTTGTGGTGTAGTACAGTGGTGTGGAGGTATATCTCAGTTACAGCATGGATGACAGACAGCAGCAAGACACTCATGGACACCTTCACTTCCTCTTTCTGTAATGCCGCAGTATTCCATGACTTTGTTAACCTTGGACAGAAATGGCAAGAGTTTGTCAGGTTGCTGGAGAGCATGCAGTTCCTCATCCAGATGTTCAGAAGTGTGATGGTTTCACATCAGGAAAAGATATTGGTCATATAAGACCTCCTGCTATCTTATCCATTAATTTACCAACATGATTTTTGCCATAGACTGTCTATAAACATGGATGAAGTCTCAGTGATGTTACCCATTGGTTTCTGGAGGGCTGTTTTGGAGCCAATGTATTGTTTGGAAATGCTGACTCTATCAAACCTTCAGTCAACCTCACTACAGGCAAAGAGCTGGAGCTGTGGCAGTCCTTAAGCCTCTTGACAAACTGCTACAATGCAGCGGGTTGCATCGGTCCTGCCTGTAATTATACATAATTTGTATCTTTTATTACTCTAGGAACTAGAAAATAAAAAATCATAAATTTTGCATGCTTGTTTTTTCAGGCTGATCAAACAAAGAGTTTCCTCGTCACCGTATAGATTTACTGTGTTCCATGGAGTAATAATGGCCTCCAATGACCATTCTCAAATGGCTAGCTGCATTGAACATAAACATGGTTGAAGTGATTATTTTTCCAAAGAGGATCATGTAGAGCAAACTTACTTGATACTTGCTGAATGGCACGTCTCTCCCAGAAACCACCAGGAAAGCTGATGCAATGTAAATAAACAAAACAACTTAACAACAAAAGTTTTCCCCTCTCCCCTTGAGCCTTTATGACTATGCTTTAGTAATTCCTCTGTTTTCTCTGTTTCATATAAGTATCCCCTTATCTCCAACATGAAAATTATTTTTCCATCACAGTTAATGATACATTGTATTAGAGACATTTTAAGTGGCTAATGTAGTGTTATTTAAACAGATATCAGTAGACTGAAGGCTGTACAGCAGTCAATAACTTCACAGCTTCTCCAAATAGGGTTTTACTATCCTACATTTTCAGAGAATATGTTCTGCTAACACAAGTACCTCTTACAAACCCTTGTCCAAACTATGTCTGTGATTGAATGTCTTACATTTAATTGCCAATAAGGTGGAAACTTTGTTGGCACCCCCTTCTTAAATGTTATTAAAATCCACTGTATAGTTAGAGATTTGCTTTTTGTCTTTACCTTGGCTACCCTTATAAATGAGAAACAGTGCATGTTTTCCACTTTCCCATTAAACAAAATTAAATAAATTCAAAACCTTAAGTCAGAAGTCACATGAAGTTCCTCTTCAGGGGTTACGTTTTAACAGAAATGTTACTAAATGTGTCAAAATACAATAAAATACAAGGGTATTTTCCTTGAAGTCTCTTAGACTTTCTGTTGGATCACCACTGGGTTTCCAGGATCTTGAACACCTTTCTGCATGACTCCTTTAAACTATTGACTGAACCCTGGGTCTCACACGTCTCTGTACCTCAAATCCCGTGATTTGATCTAATTGAGTGGCACCAAGAGAATAATGAGCTCTTAGTCAGTTAGACAACAAATAAGGATCTTGATTGGATAAAATGTAGCTTCTTCCTAATAATCTTACGGTGATGCTGAATGGGGTTCCTCTCACATCCTCTTTAGTTTTTTCAAAATGAGCGCTAATAACCTCCAAAACCTCCTGAACATCTGAGTGCATAATATACAGTACTAACACTATGTTAGTATAATCTGCAAAATATTTAACCTCCCCATTTCTTTCTAAAAATCATGATTGTGTGGCATAAAACAAAGAACCCTGCTGGAAATGAAAATTGAGAAATTTCATTGATGTGTTTTTATTCTTAATTATTTCAACCACATTGATTTCCCTTGCCCTTGGCAGGGTGCAAGTATGCTAGAGTGTTTTGAAGTCTGTCTATTTGTGCTCAATCACATCAGTTATAGCATCCCTTATTGCATTAAGCTCAAATTGAATCAAACCCAAACTGCACAATTAAATACCATTCACATAAATAAGACTGATACTTAATTTCTTGGCAAGAGTTTGTATTATAATGACAGATTGTCAGCCAAATGTGATCTGTGTAAGCCGTGCGATAGCTGTTGACTGTTGAAATTTGGGAAATAACCTGAATTACTGCTTATTTTCTAGTCAATACAGTGATGGTTTTAAATCCTGCTATCTGTGCTGAATGTGTTCTTTGGAGCCATCTGTTAGTCTGGTCCTAGGAACCTTTCCAAACATCTTACACTGTGGACTTCCAAAGATGCCTGACAAGTAAAGCAATATTTGACATGATGTCATTACAGGATGTTATGGTTCAGTGCATTATGCTCACATACATTCATTTCGTAGAGAAGGAAATCTCAATCTGATGTGATGTTGAGAAAACTCTAGGCTCTTCTGTCTGAGCTTACAATATATCTTTGTTTTGTTCATAGATTAAATACAAGCGTTTTAATCACACTTCCTCTGTATCATAATTAAGCATACAACAACACAAACCATTCAGTGTCTTAATTTATTTACAATGAGTCCAGTCACTGATACATATGGAATAAACAGAGACGGATGTTCCCATTTCCTGAGTTGGGAAGTAGTTCTTCAGATTTCTCTGTGTTTATGGTCTCTTAGTCATAAT